TGTTCGTGGATGAATGACCGATGAGATGGAGCACCTCGGGGCCATGGGGACCCCACAATACTTTTGCATGTTTGCGGGTTGAATGCAGAGAAGGGGGGGGGGGGGGGAAATGAGTGAGTAGTGAGTGGGTGAAATGTCCATATAATACAACGTTGTTCCCCGGCCGGGGAGAAATTGGACTTTTCATATTTATTTTTAAAGTTGTAGCTTGTCTCCTGCCAATAAGCCGGTGCCATGTCAATGACGACGACGATGATGATGATGATGATGATGATGATGATGCAGGACCAAGCAGGAATAAAATATATCATCAAAAGTAAATAGATAGTTTAAATAGTGTAATAAACTCGATACCCTGCATCGCCGGGACGGAGACGTTGATGGGAAGAAGAAGAAGAAGAAGAAGAAGAAGAAGAACAGGCCCATCGATAATCACTAATCACTGACTTTATATATGTACATACTGTAGTACTCCGTACTGTACATATCATATATGCAATTTGACCGAATACCCAATTAATTACGGAGTACCCTCATCCCACCACCCTCCCATTTTCCCCGTAAACCCGAAACCTCCGAAATCCGACGTTACGGCAAGGGAGTTAAATAGCGAGCGCATTCCTCGGCTCGTTCGTCGTCCTGGTGGGTGGAATGGCGCCCAGGGGGGTGAGGGAGGGGCCAACGTATCCCATGTTCATGGTTTTGTTCAGCTTAGGATACGGGAATTGTGATTACTATCCTGGTGGTGTCCTGGCCTCCTCCCGACGCCAAGAGGGGACTGGGTTGTTCGGCTCGCGGAGAGAGAAGAGAAAAAAGAGATAGTGCTGACTTGTTGGGATTTCCTCAAGAATTTTGACTCATACATCAGTTACTTACCGTCGAAAAGGGGGGGGGGGGGGGTTTGTTCAGAATATCTGAAGGGGGAGTTCGGATACTTGCCAAGGGACTTATTGAGCCTGCCCAGGATTCAAATTTGAAGCCCTACTAAGCCCAGCACCTAGGGTATTCCGCTCTAGAGCCAGAGGGGATTTCATTCCATCTCAAACACACCGGCTTCTCACCATCACTTCAAGAAATGTAAGATTGGAGATTGGGAGTTGGAAATTGAAGGATTTGTTAGGGAAAAATAGAGCCTAAGAAACATAGAAAAAAAAAAAAAACCAATTCCTCAGAGAATGATGAATACTGACTGGTAGTTACACAATTCCACATGTGCAGGCTGGCTGCAGCCATCCGTGGACTGGGTACGGGACAGGTAACGAGGGCGGAGAACTGTGGGCGGCGGCATCGGCAGCCGGCATACATCAACCAGTTCGCGGTATCATACTCCGTACTTGAACGGGGAGTACAGACTCCAATATATTGTCCCGATGATGGATGGGCATATCACATGATTCCGCCCAGACCGGCTCTGCCAAGACCCACAGACCGTCTTGGCATCGGCGATGAAATGCCAAGACAGGCGCCAAGATCTCCGCCAAGACCGGTTTCGTATTGGGGCGGTTGGTCCGGTATTGGTAATGTCGCCGATTAACTATTTGCGGTTGCGGTGGAGGAGAGTACGCTGGAGGTACGGAGTAGAGTATCCGGGGACACTCACGAAGCCAACAGGGGCATCTGTAAGATAGTCCCGGCGTGGTATATATACTGCTCTACAGCGTATGTGCAGCCCATGAGCCCTCTGTGCTGTGGACGAACCCAACCCAACCCAACCCCCCCCCCGCCCCGCCAAGCTCTGGGCGTCCTGGGCGAGGGTGGTTCTTGGCGGCCTTCGCAGCCAGTCCCGACGCTCCGCCGCGCTTTTTCTCCTCCTGGGCCAACCTTGGGGCATCTTGGGGCATCTTGGGTGCGCTGGGCTTCCGCTGGGCAATGTCCCGCCCACAGTGCGCGCTGTTTCGATCTCCCAGGTTGAGGCGCCGGCGATAATACACACAAAGAGAGAGAGATAGAAGTATATATATATATCATAAGAGGATCTCTTTTATTCTCTCCTCCTGGTTCATGGGCTTCTTCCTCTCCTCTCCTCTCCTCTCCTCTCCGCTCCTCTCTCCTCTTCCTCCACCCCCGTCTTATTCGTCCTACCTACCTTAATATCGCTGCCTCTTCCGCCCATTCTTCTCTCGTCCATGGGTATCCATACCTGCTGTCGTCGTGGTCGATGCCTTGCCTGCAGACCTTTCTCTTTTGTCTTCCCGCTGCTAGTCCGCCGGTTAGTAGTTACGTGTAGATAGCTATATTATATAGTAACACCGCAAGCCATTCGACCATGCTGTCTTCATTCTCTCCTCCTCTGAACCTCTCGTCCTTGCATCCCACTTCCTCCTCCTCCTCCTCCTCCTCCTCCTCCTCCTCCTACCGCCACCACGACGACCGCCTCTACTCCCCCCAGCAGCCTTTGTCCTCAAATAGCCCTTCTCCTCCCCATTCGTACTCTCGAAACGATGCTCCCTGCAACCCTCGCTCTATCGGCGACTCTAATCCCCATCCCATCGTCCATATCCCTCAGATACCACCCCAATCCGCAGAACCTCCCAGTGCTGGCCGCATTCCACCATACCTCTTCCCGCAATCGATAACGGACCAGACGTATTACAACCACCCCTTGCAACTTCATGGCCTGGAGCAAGTTGTCCTCCCGCGGCCTTCGTCAATGCCGGATCGGACTCATGCTCCTGCACCCCAAATTCCGACGAGAAGTGAAGCCTGTCGCATCCACTATCACAGCAACCATGATGTATTGGTGTCGGGCCATTCGAGTCCGCGGTCGCAGCGGATGGAGGTGAATGATGATGAAGAAGCAGCAGCAGCAGCAGCAGCAGCAGAAGAAGAGGATGGTGATGCGATTGGGGAAGATGAGGATCAGAATCAGAATGAGGATGGGTTGGAGGTAGTTAGGTCGACGGAAACGGAGAATGCCTTTTTTATACTGGTGAGATAGCTGCTCTTTTGTTTTTGTGTTTGTTTTCCTTTTCCCTCTTTCAATTATCTAGATGACTTGAATTTCCTTCCCGGAAGTCTATTATTGTTCAGAGACGCCACCAGCAGAGCATCCCATCAGCCACGGGAATTAAAGCATTGAAAGAATTGAAGAATTGAGGAACATGAGAACAATTAGATTGATTCAGAATATGTTCTAGCAACGGGGTCATTTCTAATATCTAATATATGGCATATGTAACTAACCATTATCTACACCCAGCTCCGCCTTTCATTCCTCGTGCCGCCCTTCACCCTCGTCGCAGCTCTCTACACCCTCGCCGTCCTCCTCCTCCTTCTCCTCGCGCTCCCGCTCCGCCTCTGTATCCCATCCCCCTTCTTCAAAACCTCGCTGTCCACACAGACATGCTCCCTCCTCCTCCCTCTGTTACGCGCACACCAGCGCCTCGTGGCCCCACAGCCGCGACCAACACAGTCATCGGGATGGAATCATTATAGCATTGATAATAATCATAATAATCATAATAGAAGGCATCGCGCGAGGTGTTATAGGAAAGGGAGGGCACTCGGGGGTCATTATGACGCTGAGTCGCCGCATCCGTATGATGCAATAGATTATCAGCAGGAGAAGCCTACCACGACTACCACGAATACTACCACGACCACTACCACCACGACTTCGACCAGAACACCTATTACTCCAGACCCTCGCCCTCACCCACCAATGGACGGCAGTTTTCAGTCCCCTTCTCACTCTTCCCCTCACTCCCCCGCTCCCTCCCAATCCCAATCTTCAACTCACCCAAGGCCCTCGTTCCCACCCAAAACATCCGCCTCCCCCTGCCCCTCCACCACCCACTCGCCCCTCATCCTCATCCTCATCCTCCTCCTCTCTCCGGCCCTCATCCCCTCCCTCCTCCTCGCTGCCTGGATCGCCGCAGCGTTCTGGATCTTCGCCATGATCGTCGGGAACCCGGATGGGACTGAGAGGAGGGATGATGGCCGTGTCGCGATGTTGGGGGTCAGGAATTGGTGGTGGATATGGCTTTGTTGGGCGCGGAGGAGGGGTAATAAGGGAAAAAGAGTGAAGGTGAAGGAGAGAGACAGGGAGAAGAGGGCAGAATTTGGTTGAGGTTGAGTTGGGATCGTTCCTGAAAGTTCACTTTTGTTTTTTTTCTATATTTTATTAATTTAATATTTGAGGCCCTTTTTTCTTCTTTTGTGGGGCGTCTCATAATATCTCTTTGGGCTTGGGTGGGGTTTGGTTTTGGTTTCGGATGGCTTGAGTACTGGGGAGTTTTGTTTGCTCGTACGGACGGGTCTTATATTGATTAATCTACCTGTTTGGTGCTTTGCTCTTTTCACTTTTTTAATTGCGATGCTCTTGCTGGCTATATATTCTATACCTCATATATATACTCCCAGATATCCCCTGTATGCCGGATAGTTATTACAATTACTGATATTGTTCTATATTTCTGGTCAATCCACTAGACGTACTCAACTTTCTTTACGGCATTTCTCTTCTTTGTTCCTTTTCTTTGAATTGATGAAGTTGTGGAGCTTAAATTTTGTGACCACCAGTGAAAACAAAACAAGGACATGAGTAGAGCCAGTCTATTCGGTGGCGGGATATATCAGCGTGCCCAAGGGGGGGATTTTGGTTTATCAAATTGAGATTCAGAAACGAAGGTTAAAGAAAAAGTAAACCAAGCAAAAAGGCAGGGGGGAACACCGAGCGTATATAATTTAATCAATCCACCTCTGTTCCATGACCGTCCATTTCTCTCTTCTTAGACGACAGACCATAAGAAAGCAGAGAATACCATGAGTCCATTACCCAATTCATTTCAACCCCGTGGAATGTTCGAAAAACGCCTCTATCTATGGCCTCGGCCTCGGCCTCGGCCTCGCCTGCTCCCGCCCCTCCCTCCACCGCCGCTAAACCGTCCCCCTCTCCCCGACTCTCTCTTCTCAACCCTCCCACTCTCACCCCTGACTTTCTCAACCCCCAAGCCCCTCCTCCCGCTCCCGCCCCAACCCCCCTTCATCTCTTTCCCAATCGCCTTCGCAACCTCCACCCCGCCATCGTCATCAATATCCATCTCATCCCCGCCCCTGCGCCGCCCCTGGCTCACCTTCAGTCGGCCCCGCTGACCCCTCCGCACAGCATCCGGCCCATTAACCGCAGACAAATATGCGTTGACTCCATCGGCACCCTCGGTTTCTCCAGCGCCAGCTCTTTCGCTGCCGCCGCCGTCGCCGCCGCCAGCCATACCAACATCCCCATCCCCATCCCCACCGCCGTCCTCGTTCAACCCCAACAACAACTTCCCATCCGCATTGACGCGTGCAGCTCGCTTCCGCGTCTTTGTCGCCAGGAAGCGCACGGATGGCTTCGTCGTCGAGATGCTCGCGAGCGCATCTGGCGCGAGGAGATCGAGCGGGTTTGATTCCGGCGAGAGCTCGCGGATGTACTGCGTTTGCGACTGTGGGCCTGGTCGGCTGGGTTTCTGTCGTCCTCCTCCGCCTCGTTGCTGCTGCTGCTGCTTGCGGCTAGCAGCAGCGCTGGATTTATGGGACGAGACGTGCATGTTGCCCTGCGCGTCGACGTCAATTTCGCTCGCGTCGTCGGAGTCTGTCGTCGCGAAGGCCGAGTCCGACTCCGACATGTCGGAGCCGTAGACGGCTTTGTCGAATTCGTTGCTGAAGGACTTCTCGCCGCCTCGGGGTGGTTGGTGGTCGCGGTGGCCGGGTGTCGTCGTTGCGCCTTTCCGCGCGCTGCCGGCGTCTCCGCCTCGCTCGTCTCCTTCTCCTTCTCCGTCCCTGCCCTCGCCGCCCTTGGCCTGCGTCTTCTTGCGCTTGCGCCGCTCGCGTTCTTTGCGGATCGCGACGACGAATTTCCGATCGGCTTCGCCGACTAGTCCCTCGAGGAGCGGCGAGCCGAAGCGCCGGATTAGCCGCTCCAGGATCCCTTTTACCTTACTCTTCAGGCGGCCCTTGTGCTCCTTGCTCCAGACCAGGAGGTTGGGGACGAGCGAGTCGAGACGTGGCCGGAGCATGTCTTCCGGTAAGGCGACGACAGCAACTTTGACGAAGCCCAGCACGCTCCGGACTATCTCGCGATTGTTGCTTGTCAGGAAGATATCGATGGTCTGCACGAGATCGGATAGCATAGCTGGGGGTAGCTTCGAGTGGAATTCGAAGAGGAGCCTGGACAATGCGGTTACTGAGGCGGCGACCATGTGTGGGGAACTGCCTGCGAGGCCGGCGGAGACCATGGTGGAGAACTCTTCGATCGTGGCAGGGGCGTCTGGGGCTGTATCTGGCATGTGTGGCACGAGCGAGTTGCGGATCACTGTGCCAACCGGGTTGAGGTCCGGGTCTATGGTGCGCTGGGCGAGGTGGATGAGCAAGGAGAATGCGGCCGTGCGCGCCTTTTCGTTACTCTCCTTGCATCCTAGTACCACTTCGGGCAGCACTGAGGGGATGAAATGTAGATGTGAGGTTGGGAGGTAGCTGACTATTTCATGGATCGCGAGCAGCCGGTCACGACGGGCCGGAGCGGGTGTTTGGTCTGCTGTTGCGAGGATGAGAGATTGCAGTTCAGGGCTGCGCTCGCGGAGCGACGCGGCGCCGTTCTCGGTCGTAGCGAGGCGCGGAATGAGCTTGTATGCTTTCTTGATTAACTGGGTGTCGGAGGATTTTTTCTGGAGAACGGCAGCGGCAAGCGAGAATAGAGTGGCGAAACTTGATCGTGGCAGATATATCGATATTGTGACCACGAGATCCATTAGAGTGTGAGAGGTTGGGGGGATTTTGTCGCCGGGCCCTTTCGGTTGCTTCTGCTCTGCGGGTTCCGGTAGGGCAAGGGTGCCCTCGAGCATCGTAGTGACGCGCGTGAAGGTTTCAATTAGTTCCTAGGATAATTCCATTAGCCATCAGCAGTAACAGTGGCGATATGTATTCTGTACGTATACACATATATACATACCTGTTCACCTGTAATGCTTAAATATGCATTGATGCATCGAAGCAGGAAACCCCTGAACTGAGGAAGTGTCTGACTGTAGACATTGAACAGCACAGCCAGGATATTACTAGAAAAGCTAGCGAGATGGGCTATATTTTTCATCGCATCTGCCTTCGCAATCCGTCGCTGAAGGACCAGGTCGTCCTGCTCGGTATCCAACGAGGTAATCGCTTGGTTTGATTCCACAAGGTTCTGTAACGCTTTGCACACATCCACACGTAGCTCTGTTTGCTTGTACAGTACATTTGAAAGCAACTCGGCAAAGCTTTGGTCAAAGGACTCTGTAAGATCTAGTGGCAGTTCGCAGAATCCCGGCAAAATCGCCCAAGTCTGCTGGACGAGGGTCTCGAAGATTTTCACTTCGACCGTTTTCTCGGCGTTGCCGTACTCGAGAACGCGCTGGAACAGCGCCTCGCTGAGTGGCACGAATTCTGAGCGGAAAAATGACAGGCGTGTGTTTGACACATGGTCCCTGAGGATGGGCAGAAGCCAGACTCGGCCTGGTTGGCCGGCGGTTTGATGTGCGATATTCAGCGGCAACACCCCCAATACTGCCTCTGGACCCATGGCCGCAATTGCAGACCCGAGAACTTGGTCAGCTTGTTTCTTGCTGGCGAACGATTCATTCCCCCGTAGCTCCCCGATTATCCGGACAATATCAGTCAGGACAGGGAATGCCCTCCACTTCAATGCATCGAACATTGCGGCGAGCACGTTGAATACCTCCATCCATGCAGCCTGGTACTTGATGGAGAGTAGTCCAATGCATATTTTGGCCAGTTTCTCAAACACCTTTTCATCATATACCGAGGGTTCGAGAACGACTGTGTCCGGAATGCAATTGACTAGAAATGAGATGAGACACTCAGAGGCCGACACCCTAATATTCCGAGACGAAGACGCAAGGAAGGGCGAGATGAGGTCAAAAAGATGGGGGAGATTCTCAAACGTCTCCTCAGGGTTCACCTGTGCTGATACGTCGTAACCCCTGGAAAGAACAGCAATCCACGGGGGCAGCAATTGCAAATCATTCTGTGCAGGCTTCAATTCCGAAATCGCCTCCATAAGCCGTGGCAGTTTGGACGACGAGAACTCATCCGCCATGCCTTCGAATATAATCTCGAAGACCTCAAATGCAGCCATGGTCAGGTACTCGTTGGACGATTTCGACACGTTCATCAGCAGCTCGCACAGCGGCTCGATCTTCTTTGTCGGCCACCCGCCCGGAGCGGTTGCAATGGTCTTCACCAAGTGCACGGCATGGATGACCATTGGCTCATGCTGGCTTGTCTGCTGCTGGCCATGTCGGCCCTTTTTCGCCTTCGCCGCGGCGGCGACACTCTCGCCCAGCGTATGCAGCGCTGTTTCCGCACACATATCCGCCGCGGGATGGTCCAGCGACGGGCTTGGTGGGGGATTCCTTAACACATGTACTAAGGCATCGTGCACCCGCTTGCGCACCTTGGGTCTGTGGTCTACCGCCAGTGTCATTAGGCCAGCCATAGCTCTGCGTGGGCCTATCTGTGTGGATGGTAGAGCCCATGCGGCCGCATCCTGGGCGACCAGTAGCGACTGCAAACATCCCACGGACGACTTTAGCAGTGGGGCTTCGGCTTCAGGGAGTGTGAGGGCGGGCGCAAGGCTGGTGAGGATCTGGGAGAACTTGGAGACGAGAAGAGCGGTGGGGACGAAGGGGGCGACTGTGTCGAGGAGGTAGACTATAGAAGTTGCGAGCTCCTTGTTTACGATGCCTTCGGTTGAGGATACGGCCTGGCCGAGGAGGGCGAGGAGGGCGGCGAAGTATGCGGTTGCGGTGAAGTCAGCATGTTGGTCGCGGAGTGTATCTTCGACGGCTGAGAGGACCACCGAAGTCTGTATAATGTTGATTATTTTTTATGATGTCAGTTAGCTCCCAGTTCTTCTTGGATTGCACGTATTTCTGGGTAGATTGGTTTTGCGGTTGCTCACATGGTGCTGGTTTTGCAGCTTGGGCGATTTGATCTTGTTGAGCTTTTCCTGCAGCGAGGCCATAATGCAAAAGTGTATCCTTAGCCCAGAGGGAAAGCACTGGTGCAACAGGTGCTGTCAACCTCCTGGTGGTTGAGTGGGAGGTGTCGGAGTAAATCAAAGAAATATTTCAGGCGTTGAAATTTTAAGTTCGACTTTTTTTTGGCGGTTAGATATTTTTTTTTATCGATAACAGATTGTTGTGGGGCGGAATCGGAGACACAACAACACATCAACAGGCTATTCTGCATGGGATTCGGAGATGCTGGGATAAACTTGAACATGTTCTCTTCGATATATTCTTTTCTCTTCAACTTGATATTATATTCATCACCGTAACTTAACCAATTAAGGGGCCCCTCAGAGCTCGGAAAGCCTGGAGAATCGCTCTCAACCATTTTAAATTTCTATCTACGTCGAAGGTAGCGTAGCGCCAAAGGTCGCTAATCCATTCCCTTTTCGCTATTCCATTATGATCCTTTATACTCTCTTCCCATACTCATGCGCAGGCCGGAAGCATTTCACAATATTCTGCAACGCCTGGCGGTGTCCACCCATCATACAGGTTCCAGGGATAATACCCTAGAACCCAACAAAAGTAGAGTTTGATGAAAGCAAAAAATAACAGTAGGGCTTGGGGTCTTGCTCCATGACCTCTTTTTAATAAATAATCGAGGCTTTCATGTGTGACACTTGATAAATGTTGTGCCACGAAAACAACTGCCGAATTCACCAGGGGGGAAAGCCAATAAAGTCATCGCCTCTGATAACGTTGAAAGAAAAAAAAAAAAAAAGTTTAAACTGATGAAACAAACAAGAAGAGATATCAGCATGAACATTTAAAACAAAACCTCTCCGCTGTGCTCAGCCTCAAAGCCAAGGGTTTGTAGTTTGGCACTGCTGCGTTTGTTGCGTTTCTTTCGTTCGTTATCTTCTTGCTTTTTCAATGCAAAGACTTCTTCGAAGGGTGCCTGGCGGTAACCTGTGGGTATATCGTCCTCCTTATCTAGATCCTGAATTTGCCCAATCGGGGCAGTCAGTGAAATGCCTGTGGAATGCTGGGAGCTCTATCGAGCGGATCGCAACTTACAACTTCTCCTAGTAAGAGAACGTTCTCTCCCCGCACTAAATAGATTCCTCGTTGTATATCTGCAAAAAGGTTTCCGGCATATAGTCGCTCGACGGTCCCTTGGAGGACAAGGTTGGCTAGAGGAGATGGAATCATTAGAAACAAGACGGTCATGATTTCATGTGTCAATATATTGAGTTAACGAGAGCCACTTACCGAACTGATCCCAGCTGCGTAGCACACCAATCAACTTGCGCCCATCGCGGAGAACAAGAACGAGTTTTTCTGAATAAAACGCAGTCCACCGAAAGACGCGGCGGGGGTTTTGGTCAGTCTTTTTCTGTGTATATATATATATATATATATACCGAATTCCCATGCGCTGGCGAAATTGGGAGTTCAATGTGATTTTATTCTAGCGCTGGCCGCACAAGATGAAGGGAGGGCGCTGCTCACTATCAGTCAGGTCCAGAAGTTGCGCTGCCGTCGTGAACATTTGCGGGGGCAGTTGAGCCAGGGGCGGGGGCATCATTGGGGTGGGTGAAGGTTCTTGCCCTGGGGCAGGAGGAGGAGCTGTTGGAGGAGCTGGTTGGTGGTGGCGTGGGAAGCCGGAGTGAGTAGCGGGGTTGGGCTGCTGAGGGTACCCTCGGTGGCCATGCGGGAGCGGGGGCGGGGGCGGGGGCGCTCCGCGTCGTCCGCCTTGGCCGTTGTTGTGGTCGTGAAGGGAGAGGTCCTCCATACCGCACTGGATGGTTGTAATTGGCGGAAATGCAGTGCTAGAGGGGTTAAAGGAGAGGAGGAACGTATTTGGTGGGTGGATAGGTGGGTTATAGGATATCAGGACAACGAGCGAGATAGTATAGGCATGCTGGTTGGTCGGGAGCCGCGAAGTAGAGCTGAGCTAGTCAGAAGATAAGGACCTATTCCAAACTTCGGCATAGACGTATCTTGCTTCCCCCTTAGCAGTAAGATTGTCGGATTCTGGTCTAGATTGATGACGCTGCTGTCGGTCTTGGGTTTTGCTTGTCGAGGTTGAAATACTTTTTGAGCAGAGGGGATTACTGATACGGTGTTTGCTCTGTTTGCCGAACCCTTCCTGTTCAGGCATAGTGGCTCTTCTATATGGTTGTTATTACTCCGTACAGAATCAATCATTGCGGTATATCAACTATGTAGCTAAGAGAAGGTATTTCAACAAAATATGAGGGTAAGAATTTGTGTGAAATTGTTGGGTATCTCAAAACTAAAAAGAAGAATGTGCAACGAGCGCAAGATTCCAAATGAAACATCGCTCTACAAAATAGTCCAATCCCTTATCCCTCATGCTTAGGTACCATCATACTTAAGGGTCATCGCTCTTCGTCGCTTAGCCATAGACATTGATCTCATCTTGGGGGGCCCTGAATCCTAACTTCGACGGCTTCCATAATTGATTGCCCTTGGATTGTTTGTGAAGGACTTTTTCTTCGGTGACATATTTCCTCAATAAATTGTCTAGTGCGCAAAAACCAGTAATGTTAGCTAGAGAAAGACCTGAGAAATAGAATGACTTACTCTGATCTTCTATTTTAAAGTCCTTCCGCTAACAGGCTCATCTACGTCCGGCCTCTTGCATACCACCACGTGACAACGCAACACCCGATGCCCCCAAACTCCGTGGCACTGGAGAAAGAACAAGGATCATAACATGTCCACTTGATATAAGGATGACAGCCTCGGGATGAGCAAAATCCAACAGCTGAAAAGAGTTTAAGCAACACTGATTTTACAAGACCGTTCTCTCATCCTTCGCTCACGGTGCCGGTTCATGTAAACGACACATGGGTCGTCCGAGGAGCCGATCCTGGCCCTTACCGAATCCAGGCTCGGGGAATAACCCGGCCGATGTGGAGCTGCAGGAAGCTGTAGAAGCCGCAGTTGTTCACGAGTGATGATGTGGGAGCAATATAGATGTCTCATTGTCTCAAAGTCTGGGCAAGTGTTTTGAATGGGATATCCTTGCTTTAGATGTTGATCTGCTAGATGTGTTAGCATTCTTTGCCAGGCGACACCGTGGTGTGGGTCCGATATCCGGTATGGGCATGCTGGGCACTGGGCAGTGGCCGGCAATGGGCCCAAGCGGAAGTGGCTCAACACGTGCGTCTTCCACTCTTCAAGATCGGAGAAACGTTCATTACAATCCAATATGTGGAAGAAACAGTAATGGCCAATTCCTGTACTGCTCGTTTCGGGAGGGGCAGTGAGGTTTCCATCTGTATCCTCCTCAAGAGCATATCGAGGAGGTAGCTTGGCTGCGGTATTTGTGTCAATGGATCCAGAGGGGGAATTGGATGCTGTCGACAACGAAAACCGAGAGAGTGTTGGTACTGTACTCGGTGGAGACATTATGGAGGATGACGATTTACTATAGGTATCTTCGATGTTTTCGACAATCATGGAACTCCGCTGGGAGTTTGCATATGCTCTTTCGCTTCGGAATGAGCTTCCCGTTGAAACGAACGCCGGCGTGGTAGGCGAGTAAGACAACGCCAAAAGACCTTCGGTAGAACCGTTCGATCGTTCGTATGCCCAACGCTCTAGTGTGGCCACTGCAAAGGGGTCAGTATCTTGAGACCTATGTTTCTGAGCCTGGTAGGCGAATTTATATACTTGTGAGAATCCGATTGCCCAGTATTCAAAGCCTGAAATAGAAGTAATTGAATAATGGAATATCAAATATCAAATGTTAAAATAAGGAAGGGAGGAAGTGCAATGGCTTTGCCGAAAAATGATAACGGCAACTGGGAGAGAAGTTTAAAAACAAAAAGGCACTAGATATATGGGAAACCCTAGCAAGGGAATGAAACACAGCGCAAAATATTTATATTTTCCAGGTGATTTGCGACGTCCGTAGTCATTTCAAGACACTTCTGCAGTATAGCAGAGGATTCGCAATTTCCCCACACGAGACACAGAGGGAAATCAAGTGCTACTGACATCTAACAATCGCGTTTCCGTATGGCTGTGACGATTGGCATACACCTTATGTGATCAGAGCAAGTGGGTGATGGCCACGTTTGAAAGGGTTTTGCGTCTGGTATCTGCGGGGGATGCAAGTCGGAGGACAAGGAAGTAGGAGTTGTCTGGTATTGAAAGTAACAATGATCTGGGAACTTTTTCTTTGGCGCCGCGTAGAGGGGTCGGAGGTCTAGCCGAAGGAACGAATTGTTATCTGAAAGAAAGGAGACCTGTTATGGTTTCAATTGGCGCAGAGAGAGTCGAAAAATGTTGGCTGTGGAAGAGTTACCTCCCCAGGAAGTGAGAATTGGTTGGAAAAAGGAACAAAGACGGGGCAGAAGGGAAACCGCGAAGATAAAAATGGTCCGAGACGAATTTCTTAAGAAATCATTGGATGGATGAAGAAACTGGTGTACACTCCTCCTCCCTCGGTTTGATACGACCAATCCGTCCGGGCTCAAGTTGTGAGCTGTCATGCAGTTCCCTGGTAAGTGGGGAGGTTGTTGAGCGACGAACGGGTCCATTGTATAGCCCAATGGTGACACACCCAATTCGATATGTAGAGATATGTATTTTGTATCAATCCTGTAGTTCAAGTTTCTAGGATGAGCACAAAGCTTCCCCACTTAATCACCATGCGGCTCAATTCAACAAGTTTATTCCACTTGGCCGGGATAATTTTTTGGAGTCGGTATTACCACGGCAGGCGTAAGACCTAGGGGTGATCAGTGACATTGTGACAAGAAAGGTATTTCAATTAGACCATATTCATGGTTCCATTCGCTTGTGCCTTTCTAGCTGTCATTAGAGTAGTTATTTAGTTAATGAATCCAACCATCTTCAACTGACGCGGGCAACGTGGCGAGCCCGTAAGTCGCTCTTGGGATATTCTGCTACCCTTGAGCGCCGAAAATTTGAAGGATTAATAATTATCATAGTTAATCTTTCTTATTAAATATGCAGATGCTATCCATAACTACTAACTCTGAGGTCAATAATCCAGACGTATGAAACGCGGGCGGGAGCTCACTGTGACTGCGACTGGGACCAGTGCTGGCCCGTGTTCTCGCTTGATGCATGCTTGCTTGCTTCCATCTCGTTTCTCGCCACTCTGGTCTTTCTTTTATCTTTCCTTTTTCCTGCTGCATCGAGCTAGGAGCCAAGCCGTATGTAGCCCCGTGCATCATGTGTGCAGGTTTGTTGAGCTGGCACCGTACGGAGTCCGGACATAAAGGACGTTGCACGTCGTGTATAAACCTGGGCCAAATAGTTCCAATGCATAAAAGGACTTTGGGCATTCATACCGCTCCAAGTACTGGATAGGATTGTCAGGTTCTGTTCTGTTTGGTTTGGGTTTGAGGGACAAGGCACCTTGGTTAACCAGTCATCAGTGTGCTCTGGATAAAATCCATACCAGGTAATCTGTCTGCTCTCGCTTGTCTCCTTGTTGAACGTTCTCCTGCAACGGCAGGATTTTTATGCTCGGTTATGAGCGGCTTGGAGAGTGGGATGGAGAGTTTGCCATGTGCACAGCCTGGCCAGCGGGTTAGTTATTTGAATATGTGGGGGTTGTTTGAGCCCTATCAGCATCAACTAGTTTACTAGTGACTTCAACTCGCTGTGGGATGCAGACAACAGTACGGAGTATTCGCGCCGACGACCCCCTGGACAATCATTTGAAGCGGGAGGAAGTGAGGAGATGTTGCACCAATTCCTTTTGTGCAAGCAGCCAAGTTTCCTGTCGAGGGAATGCGCTTTACTTGCTAAAAGCCCTCCGGTTGTGGCTAAAAGGAATTGTTTAGTGAGGAAAGACTCCGAAAGAGGGAGGATAAACGTTGTTGGTGATTTGAGTGAATACCGTCACCCGTCACCCAGGCTTACAGAGTTTTTGGAGAACTGAAGGTGGCATGACGAATAGGCCTTTGACAAGGGAAGCACCTCGCTTCTTGATTTTAAAAGTGGCAGCTTGTGCGATGGGAAATGTGGATATATGGATATATTAGCACTGTTTGCTGAGAATGCTTTCGTTTTGCAAGTCATAATTTAGGTCTACTCATTTGCTGTATATCTAACTACATTACACTTATCTAGATTGAGACAATTGGCACATCACTCTCCCCTGTCGCTCACCATCCACCCGATCGAACAATCAAATGTACAGTACATGTGGTTCCTGAACAACATTCTCGCCGCAATGAGATCCTTCGCTAATATTCCCCCAGGGGTAGAGTACGCTTCTACAGCGTTTCCGAAACACGTGCTGGAAAAGGTTTCTATAACCACAATTAGCCGTTTGTCCCCAGATACAATTGAGGGTCCATACCGTATACCATCTATATAATCAAGCCCTGGAAATTCTCGCTTGAATTTCTTAATCGTACGTCTATAACAATTTTACTTTTTTTTTAAACCAATAACTCTGCGCTGTGGGTCTGAAAAGCCTGTCCGCCCACAATCACCCAAGGAAAAAAAAAATCGTTTTCATCAGTGTCATTTCCATTTCGTCAAACACATCGCTGTAAAAAAAAAAAAGTAAATGCTATTCCTCCTATATACCCTGGGGTAGAAGGCGGATAAATAAATCCTGGTGGTTTGTCGTAGTTCATGATGTCGTTATGCTGGTCAAAGGTGATGCTAGCCAACGGCGGAGAGGCCGTAGTAGAGTTCCTGCACCGCAAGTAAAGCGAGTTCCGATAGATATTGAATATCCAGTCGCCGCTGATGGCATGGACGCAACGTTCAGATTGGGTTTAGCGTCAATTGGGGCTTTACCGGTATGAAAATATACCGGTTTCCAGATTCCCAATGACGGCCTTTTTTAACTTCTTCAGTTTCTCTCAATATTCCTGATTTTTCCCAGGGTTGCGGTTTTAGTATTTGGTATGGATTTCCTGGTGGGGGTGGAGCAGTGGGTCTTCGGAATCATGGCTTCTTGAGGGACCCACGCGGCAAGATCACGCTAATAACTATGCTATCTTCTTAATTTCTTAAAACTTCGCCCTTATAAGGTGAATTTACGCATGTGTAGCGGACTTGAGGGTGATGATGCTACTGCTGATGGCGTCGATATTGGGCTCGAGGACGAAGGGGAAGAGGGCGACTGAGATGTTCTGTGCACAGGTGTGGCGTCTTCATTTTCAGATGAAACCACGATGGCGGGTGGGCGGCGAATATCAGGTATGGGCCGGTTAGAATTCGTGGGAGACGTGGGTGATCCTGACGGGTTACTTCGTGGAGAGCCGTGATGAGTCTGTATTGGTACTTCCAGAGTCGCCCGCCGGTGGTTTCCATTAACGCCGCCGCTGGATGCTCGAGGGCGATTGTGAATCTCGGGCGGAGCACGGTCACCCGGTATCGTATTAGCGTGCGATGTTCGCGAAATGATGGTTGGTGAAGGCGAACGCGATCCTGGTCTCGAAAACCTAGACGAAGCCTCCAAATCGAGCCCATAGATGCTACTCGTGAAGCTACCTGCTCTTGAGGCCCGCCCTCGAAGAGAGGGAGAGACATTCCCATATGTGTCTCGATATGTGTTGTATTGATTTCTGATGTTAGGCAGGGCGCGGTTCCGGCGTAATTCTCCAGGAATCTCAGGGAAGTCCAGAGCCTTCCCGCTCTTAAATTCGGAGTCGTTAAGCCTCTCGTGGGCCGCGTCACTGAGATAGATGACAAACTTAGTTAACGCAGTCGCTACTTTACGTCTGTTGCCAGAATCCCTTGCCGACGATTGTCTCGGTTGGCCATCGTGTTCAACGATAGAGCGAGTGTTGGAAGCGCTTCGCTGCATCTCGACGCCGCGTGCTGGAGAGCGCAAAGACTCTACAGATGCGATCGTATTGATTTTGCGCATTGAGCAGTTGTCTTGATTTGAAGAGGCTTTGGGTTGCTCCTCCTCTTCAGCGGCATGGAGGTCAGCAGCAAGAACAAGATACAACGATCCTAGCACGGCCAGCCCAGCACCAACGATAGGGCCCCATTGGCCTAGTAAAATCTTGTTAGCAATCCACGGGGGAAAAGGGGGGAGAAGGGGAGGGGCCAGCCATTGGGGACAAAAGGATACCACCTACCAATACTGGCTACAGGCTCGGTTTGATAAAGGACTTGGGAGCTGAAAAAATTCATCTCGCCTAAAATGAGGATCCCCATCACTGCTGCAGCAAACACAGGGATTTCTACAGCGCTCAGAAACATCCTGACTAGAGAATTTACCTTATTCATTTTCTTAATGGTGGCGCCATTTGTGCCTTCAATTGGCTCGTCAACTTTTTCCTCCTGTTTTCCAATACCAAAACGGTTCATCCGGTTGATTTCGAGGATCTTGTTCCACATAGATATTAACGAAAGAATGGCCGGCACGCAGCACGCGGCAGCCATGAGCGTTGCGGTGCCAAATGTGATCTTATCTGGGGCGGGGATGACGTAGATGTTGCTGGCTGCACCGTTTCGCATAGGGGAGAACGGGCCTTTGTCTTCAGAGCAAGTCATGCCGCAACTTGTGTTGTACTTGAATTTGCGAGCATCAGACGAGATAGGGTTGCCAGCGTCGTCGAACGGGCAAGCCGTTGGTTGGATTCGGAAAAACTCGACAGTCAAGCTCAACAGCCCTTTTGGGGTAAAAGGTTAGGCAAGAGTGATAAGCTGGGTAATCCGAAGACAAGGGGTATATACATATATATATATATATATATATATATAACCAAAGATCATCAACTTACCGGCAAGAATGAGGGTGGTCCATAAGAAAATGATATTCCGGCCGGGGTCATAGAAGTATGTTCTGGATACCCTAACCGCTACGGGCCCGGTCAAAATGCCAATGGAGCATAGCTGGAAGGCACCATAGATATCCATATCAACAGCACCTTTGACAGTTGAACAATTAGCTTTGGAAACCACACAAAGCTGCCGCAATCTCAAGAACCAACCATGCAGATTGAGTGCCGCAAGAACGACGCCGTGCAAAGCAGCAACGGCCGGAAAAAGTAGCACTGCCGCCAGGCAGGCATTTCTGAGCCACTCAGTCTTTCGCGCAAAGACACAAGCGGCTATTAGAACATAGTATCTGTATGGTTTCAACAAGGCGGATTGGCGGTCAGCCGTTATTCAACGGGCTCACGGCACGCGTTTGCTCTGGCTTCGCCGTGTGGGGAACATTTCGAACTTACAGAACCCTTGTGCCGGGCCCATACTGGCCAGAAACCGGCCATGCGCATATCACCTGTAAAGCGTTTTTCGTCGTCCCGTTTACAGTTGCATTGTGGACTGCGGCTTCAGCGTGGAGGGCATTTGGCAGCAAGGCAGACCTGAGCGCAGGCATGGCTCACGGATTGTAGGGAGAGGCACAACCACGTATCGCGTGAGGAAGATTATTATTTCATGTTAATGGGGAAGCAAAGAGGATAACAGCTTGTTCACATCCTCTATCATCATATAGCTATTCCGAAGAAAAGAACACGATAGATTTTAGCATGGAAAAGAGAACGTCCCTCGAGCAAGACACAGGGATCGCTGTTGTTTAAAAACCGAACAGGTTGCAGCCGAGGCGAGATGTGATGTGATGCTTGCTTCGCAAACCGTCAGAGTGGAGCCGCCTACTACAGCCTGAAGTTTTCTCCGCATAAAGAGTCTCCACCACTGATCATCTGCTCTGGCGCCATCCTGGGCCCAGCTCCAAGCAGGGCTTGCTGGCGCGATTCGAGCATCCGGCCGAATCACAGCCCGCAATGCGCTGGGGAATTGCATCCCTGCAGACAAGTGACACAATACGGAGTACGAGGCCAGATGAGGCTCAGCAGCCACTTTCTACGGTCTCACTAGCTACGGTTCGCAAATTTCTTTGCAATTCCTGCTGCGACGGGCTTCGGGCTTGGAAGGTCTTCCACAGATTAATCCGCTGTTCAGCCACAGGGCCTGCGAGCAACGCTGCTGGATCCTTCATTTGGTGAAAAATCCCGCTGTCGAGTTTGCGACCGTTATTTGTTCCTCCCAGAGCCGGCGATTAACTTACACTTATCCACAACGGAGGGTGCTAGGCGGGAAGTTTAACTTACTTCTAACGCTCAGTCCAGGATAGTCGGTTGGGTTGGCCCACTTACCACGATTCCTGTGCGCCTTTGGACAGAATCTTGGAAGAGGCTGAGGACGCTTACGATTTAGTACGCCTGTTGAGCGGGGGACTGAAAAAGTGCCTTAAACCAGCAGCACAATCGGTTCAGAGGCGACTGACTGACTGGAAACCTTCAAAACCTTCGCTGCGGTGTGCGAGGGGAAGTCCCGCTTTTCCTAATTCATGGCTGAAGCCGCAAGAAGCAGAAAAACATAACTAGCCGCTTCTGCTACTCGCCAACCCAACTGCAAGCCACTTTTGTATCTTTTTTTATTTTTCTGTTGGCCGTGGGGGAATCAAGCAAAGCTCCTCTGCTTTAACTCAACCGCCAGGCCAATTTTGGCGAGTTATTACCTTGGCTGAGCTTCGAAGGAGACAATCGTCAAAATGGCAGAGAAATCAGACGAGGATGTCCTGAACACGGGCGATATTAGGAATTGGCGGTCAATTGTGACCCTCCTTGTCTTCATTGTCACAAGTAAGATTGCCTCCACAATCCATGTTTTTGTCTGCGCAATTATCCAGCTAACTCTTCAGCGATGGCCCAGATATCGTCGTTCTGGCCCCCTTTCACCTTCCGATATACGTCCCCCGGCGCCTTGTGGAGAGCATCGTCGATGCTCTCAGTGCGCTGCGAATAATACCCGGCAGGAAACCGCGGTTTCAGCATGATCCCGCTTCTGATGGTGAGGAGCCGGATGATGATAATGATGATGATGATGATGATGATCAGAACGGCAAAGTGAAACGCAAGCCTTTTGTACGATGGAACTTCCCCATGAATTTTGTAACTGCGCCCTTGATAGCGGACCTTTTCCTGCTGGCAATTCTAGCTATAGGCCTCGAGGAAGTGCGTGGCGGGACGCTGGGAGCGAACAACATATCCCCGCTTGATATCATGGCTTTCTTCATTACGCTGGCCTACATTGCTATTTCAATCGACGCGTCTGGGCTTATTAGGTTCCTGGCATTCAAGGTGCTTCAAAAGGGAGGCAAGGTCGGGCACCGGCTTTTTTTCTACCTCTACACGTTCTTCTTCGGTCTGGGAAGCTTCATTGGCAATGACCCCATTGTTCTTTCTGGAACTGCGTTCCTCGCCTACATGACGAGGGTGTCAAGCAATATCATTCATCCCCGAGCCTGGATCCATACGCAGTTCGCTGTGGCCAACATCGCGTCCGCAATTCTCGTCTCCTCCAACCCAACCAACCTAGTCCTCGCGGGTGCCTTCGAGATCAAATTCATTGTCTACACAGCACACATGATCGTTCCAGTGGTTGCCACAGCCATTGTCTTATTTCCATTCTTGTTATACATCATCTTTGCTGATCCGGCCTTGATCCCATATTCCATTGAGATGCACGAGCTGTCAGAGGAAGCAAAAGCCAAGAAGCCCGTGAATCCTAACATTCCTCATGCTCGCGGATTGTCTGAGGAGGATGAAGCCAATGCGAATGATGACCAGGTGAAGCTTCTTTCCCTAGAGGAAATTATGAACCCTTTCCTGGACAAAGGCGGTGCGGCTTTCGGAGCTGTCATCATGACAGCCACTCTTGTTACTCTGCTGGCTCTCAATGCTGCAACTCAGAATAATGGCCATCATCCTATTTTTTGGGTTACTTTGCCTGCCGCATTTGTTATGTTTTGCTGGGATGTCGCATTCGGATGGTACAACCGGCACGAGACTCGTGAGATTGCTCGCAGAGGTCGACAGGAGGTTGAGAATGCTCGAATCGAACATATGCTTAGGGCAGAGGAAGAAATGCGACTTGCGGCTCTAGCGCAGAAAGAGCGGGATTCGATAGATGTGTATGAGGTCCCTCTAGTGCTCACACAGTCGCCAGAGCCTCAGCCCAGCCATGATGGCCGCCGTGATGCTGGTGGCGGGGGCGGAGTCAGTATTTCGAATACTGATGACGATATCACGTTGGAGGTAGATGCTTCCAAGCATGTTCCCATAATCCTTACCTCTGAGAAAGGTGACCAACCAACCCTCGTCTCAACACCTCCCCGTGAACCATCACCATCGTCTGTACGTATACCAAGCGACAATCAACTACAAAACGGCCAAAGGTCAACTACCAGCGCTATCACCATGATGGACGACAAACAGGAAGTTACCAACACACATGCCAGCCAACCATCCACCCAAAAGCAACAGCAAGGAGAAAAATTGAGAGAAGAACATATTTTTTCTAATAGAGTCTCTCAGGACCTGGCATGCCAACAGGACCGTGGACCAGCAACGCTCGTCTCGCTCCTTAAGAACGCCTACCGATGGACACAGGATACATTCCCTACTGTCACAGCTGTAGTGGCCCACCTACCCTTCGCTCTTGTGCCGTTTGCATTCACCATGTTCGTGCTTGTCCAAGCGCTTGTCACCAAAGGTTGGGTGCCCGTGTTTGCTTATGGATGGGACCACTGGGTGAACAAAACAGGCACAGTCGGTGCCATCGGCGGCATGGGCTTTCTATCTGTGATATTGTGTAACGTGAGTTCCCCACGCCCTCCTACCCCATATTTAAATATTGAAAATACTTAGCTAAGCTTGTTCGGACTTGAAGTTTGCCGGCACCAATATCGGCACCACAATTCTCCTCTCCCGCGTCATCCAAGCTTGGCAAAAAATCCACGAGGTAAACCAAACCCCAATATCTGACCGTACATTCTGGGCGACCGTGTACAGCATGGCAATTGGTGTCAACTATGGCGCGTTCAGCACTGCATTTAGTGCTTCCCTCGCTGGCTTGCTCTGGAGAGACATCCTCGCCCGGAAGCACATCAGAGTTCGGAGCCTCGACTTTGCACGAGTTAATCTTCCCATCATTGCCATCTCCATGGCTGTTGGCCTTTCTGTCCTTATTGGAGAGGTTTATATTGTCAGAGACAACACTCCCTACAAGCCTGCGGTATGATCCGACTCGATCTACGGTGTTTTGTTTGATTTTGGTATTGGTTTCCACTACGTTTTGCATTTAATATGCGGAACACCCATAGATTTTTTTTTTCAATCTCTATTTGTCGTTTTCCTTTACACACAAGATACGCACTATGCGAAATGTGAGGATTAGAACGAGGGTCTCACTCACTTGAGGCTCACCGGAAACTACGGACACCATTTTGGGTGGGGCGGTCCTTGGAAATCGATAGATCCATCCTCGCGAATGAAGAAGCAACACCTATTCCTCCCCTACACAAGGGAAGGTGGTACTTGATTAGGGGAGATGTTCGGGGGAGAGGGTGTGGAGAAAGGTTTTGGCCTGATGGCATACCATCCTAGGCAGTACTCTGTTCTGACAAGATATATATGGCCACGACACACGCAACTCAGCAACGAAAGCGCCTGTTTTACGACGTGAAAATTCAAATATGCTCATTCTTTTCTTTCTTCCTTCCTTTCTTTTTTTATTCACTAGACTAAGTCACGACGATACGGCTGTTTTGTATATACACAAATAATTATAAACTGTCAATACTCAATAAGCAGCAGTCCTTTTTTGTGCGTATTTATTTATTTTCTTTTCTTATCCAGCCACAGATGAAGTTGTGGAAGTGTATATCTTGTATATCTATCTATTTAGGATATACTCAAAACAATGATCAGTAAGTAACTCAACAAGGCTGAAATAAATATCATTTCATCGGTAGCCCGGAATATTCGCTCCAGATCATGCAAATCAAATTCCAATACTGTTAGAGAAGGGATATCCAGTTACGTCAAAAGAACATCGCCATCGCCATCTTCGTTAACAGCGACATTGACACTGACAATAATATCATCATCACTACTATCCCCATCGCCATCACCAATATCATCACGAACACCAACACCGACAGGAGCGAAGCCAATATCAGCATCCACATCAACACCGCCTCTGGCCCGTATAACCGCCAAAGCAGCCTCTGCAGCCTTGGCCTCAACCTCCATAAGACTAACTCCGTCATTTGCTTCAACAACACACTCATCCCCTACAAACACCTTACACGTCCAATAACCCAGCGTACCAATCCCCCCTTCTTCATCAACAACATGTTCCGCCTCGTAGCGTACCTTCCTTGTACCTACCTCCTGTCCGAGGCGCTGCTTGGGGTGCATAAGGTCCATGTCCTCGTCAACTAGCATGCGTCGCAGGAACTTCATTAGTCCGATCCGCTCCAGGAATGCAGTGCATGCGTCCAGCGAGCCATGTGAGTCAATGAATATAGCGCCAAGAACAGACTCTATGAGGTCGGAGAAGAACTTTTGCGGATGAAACCGTGAAAGGAGAGTCCAGGGATACGTGTGGGACTTCTCCAGGGCTTCTGAAATGTCGGCCTGCAGTGTTTGGTATTGGTTTGCGGTTTGTTGCTGGGCGGCGGTGAGTTCCCATGACGTGCCGTGGCGCATGTATTGCCAGAGGGAGACTTTGCGGGTGGTCAGTTTTGTCGACGTGTTTTCCTTTGAGCACTCGGCGATCTCGCCGCGCACCCGCTCGGTAGACATACCGATGCAGAGAAATGCGAGGAAATCTGCATTGGCGAGTGCTGTGCGCATCAGATGCATGTCGAAATGTGGGAGGGCTCGAGGGGCATTGAACAGGTGGTGGACAATTATATGATCCAGGATCGCATCGCCAACAAATTCCAGCCGCTGGTATGACGATGTTTTCGAGCCAGGGTTGGATGGGTGGGTGAAGGCTTGAACCAGGAAAACTTTTTTGTTGAAGACATATCCCACTAGACTTTCAACCTCCTGAAACCAAGATGTGAGGGTATTCTCGTACGCTTCTGGAACAGAGCTGTAGAGGGCGTTAACCCGATCTTCAAGAGGCATCCACTGAATTTCAGGAAGGAAAATCTCGAGACACTTTTCGGCTTTTCTTTGACCCCCATCTAAAGTGGCAGCCGCAAGCAGAGCTTCAACTACGTCTGCGAGGGTTTTTGTGGACATTTCTCGTTGAGCGACGCCCTGCTCTTCACTTTCGAGATGGTCCTTGTTATAGGGTGGCCGCCATTTTGCTCCTGTGAAAACATCCAGCAGGATGAACTTATCTAACCCTGCTTCAATGGCTGCGTATGAGAGCCTCTTATTGGATACCACAGTGTCCTTGGCTCTTGACAGAAGGCCCTCGTGCCAGATAAGATTCGTCGCTGTCAACTGGAGGGTTGTTTGGAACTTGAGTATGCTGTCACCCAAAAATTCAATACGTTGATAGTTGGTTGCTTCTCTCGCTACAGATGCGCTTATCGCAGTGATGACAAGGCTCAGATCTGTAAAAGCAATCGGCCGGAGGATAGTTTTGTTCAATTCCTCTGCGATAAGATAGATTTCCACGTTATGGATGATTGACGGAGCGAGGAGGGCAAACATGGAGTACTCAAGGGGTAGTTTATCAATAGAGCAGTCGCTGGCCGGATAACACTTTTTGGTTGTGTGGTGGAGATGTAAGCCGCCACTGTGAGCTACAGGATGCAAAAAATCAGTACGCTTGGGCCATGCTGTGCCCTCAACGTGAAGAATTTCCGGCTCCCCCGCTTCAGAACTGCTGTCAATGTCTTCTAATTGCGTGTTTTCATAAACCCTCTTCATCCATCTATATCGCTCAACCGTCCATGGCCGCGTTTTCTTGTCGAGCCTCCTGACAAGTCCCAAATTCTTAATGTCCTGGTGGTCATAACCGGATGCATCGCTGGCTGGAATTTTTCCTTGCACAGACAACCACCATTCCATGAGAGCTTCGCCGGTTAATTCCATGTCGGGAAGAAATAAACAAGAGAAATCCAAACATTCCGGAAGCATCCTATGAGCAAACACCGAGGCTAAGATGGTATAAGTCGTGTCAGCAGCATACTTGACATGACTTGGCTTGAAGTTCGACGGCAGTGGTTTCAAACACACTTTGAAAGTACTCTTCTCGTTCCAATAAATCTTAAATGTAATCTGACAGGGGAGGGGCATTGGTAGCACCATGCGCATTTTAGGAAATAAGAGAGATCCAGGTGATATTTCGACCAGACTCTGATAGAAAGTTTTCGTCGTTTCCCAGTTATTTGCAATCATACGCCACGGATTGAAACGTCCGGCTACCTTTACAAGATTGAGCGACTTCTCAGAGTATTCCAGCGCTGGATGCTCCATAGCCATGCAATGTACTGGTAGCAAATGGTCATTGACGAGACCCTCCTGATAAAGTTTAAGATATGCCTGGAATGCAGCATCGCGCTGGGCGAGCTTCTCTGTTCTCCACCATTTAGAGCCCTTTATTACTCGAAATTTGGGATCGAGTACGTTGGGCAGTAAGACTTTAGCAGTGACCATCCCACCTAGTTCGTTTTCACGGAACATGAAAACAGGCCGAGTGTCTGTGAATTCACATTGAAGAGTGGCACAAAAATGTTCCAAATGGGGTCGAGCATTCTCAAACGTTAAGAGAGCACTACTGCACTTTAGCATCGGAGGGAAAAGAAGGGTAGAAACTGGATAAGAGTAGTGTCAAGACCACATACCCTGTGGATTCAATCCGGCGATCTTCATCACTTTCCTCTTCGACGTTCTCTTTCGCCCAAACATCCTCGAGCCTGCGCATATCTTCCTCGTACATACTCTTCATGACATCTTCCATTTTGGTCCATTTCTTTCCTTGGGAATTATCGTCACCATTCAGAAACATGACGAATTTAGAGCGTTCTTTCCGGGCTCGGCCCCTTCTCTGAATAAAAGACCTGAGATTGCTGATGGTATCGAAACAGACCACAAGATGGCAGGCTGACACATCAATGCCTTCCTCAAGAACAGACGTTGCGATAAGCAGGTTTTTCTTCCCGGAACGTAAGTCATCTATTGAGCCTTTTTGAGTCTTCAAGTCGTGAAGTTCGATTATCGTTGATGTTCGACCCGCGTAGCCAGAATCACCCAAAAAAGCACCAGATACAAACTTATGCTTCAACCGGGGATGTCTAGAAATGAGATGTGCAAGCATTGTAACAGTTGACCTTTGTTGGGCAAATACAATCCCAGTAAAATCTGATGTATACTCCCTCTCCAAAAGGTCTATAAGGAGATTGGCCTTCCCAGAGACTCGATCGGGCTCGCTATCCCAATACTGTTTACCAGGCTGTATTGGCAATTGCGATAGAGTTTCAAAGACAAAGTTCGCTTCTTTTCTTTCTAGTGTATCAAGAATGTCCGTTGGCTGCCTGGCTCGTTTGGTCTCAAGTCTTTTTAAGACTTCGGAAATGAATGCGTCTGCAGCCCATTGTCCCAAATCCTCATGAATACTAACGGCTTGTCTTAGAAGCTTAGACATCTGAGCCATACAAAATGTTTTACGCTTCTCCAGGGCATTCAACAAATTTTTTTGGCTTCTTTGGTCCTTTTGTTGTCTAAGGTTTTTGATCCAGGGGTCTTGTTCCATATCGACAGCTTGGAGGATTTCATATAAGCTTCGTAAAATGTCTGAACCTAGTGAATAATCTTCCTGGAAATTCACAGTACAGAGTTCTGGACGATGAACATATCGCATCAACTCTTCCCGATGGATTCTCGGCGTCTCGCAACGTGCGTTCAGATTGTCCTCAATTGCGCTAATCCAGTTAGCGGATGTACAGTACATATAACATCCATGGGAGGGGAACATGCCTTAAATTTTTAGGATCTATCTTAGTGAGGGGACTGGCAGTCAGCCCCAAGATATGAGGAAGATCATTCATTGTACCTGTTCTTTGCAGCTGCTCATGATAAAATCGCCGCATTAGGCTGTTAGGTGCCTCACCTCTGGCACAATGATGCGCTGGAACTGGGATTAGCTAACAACGAATACAGATTGGTCAGGGGCACTCCCGATGTTCGAGTACATACCCTCATCGAAGACAAGTAAAGCGATTTGAGGCATGGTTACGAACCCATGTGTCATGGCATCAAGAAGCACTTGAGGGGTCGAAACAACAATTCTGATATTTAAGAGTATATCATCCCAGATTTTTTTGGTCGACCAGTAATTCACATTGTCCGAACCTAAAAGGAGTCTTGTTTCATATGCAGAGAGCTGCTGGGATATATTTTTATGCTGCTGTTCGGCAAGAGCAACAGTGGGGGTCAAAAACCAGACGAACTATTTATCGTTATAATTTTTATAATTTGAATGTTTTAGCTTTAGTTTTTATGTTTTGCAGGGATTCAGGGACAAGCAGAAAGGTCATCAATAAAAGACCGAAGTGCCACTAACCTTGTGTGCAGCGCATGTTTCAAGTTCATGTCTGATTCGAAGAATTGCCCTATATGTCCACAGGGTGGTCAGATATGAAAGGGAATGGAGCGCATACGTATGTGCTCTTCCTGCTGGAGCTTATATAGAGCAGCAAAAGATGGGAGCATAATATAATAGTATGGTAGAGGCTTGTTATATGTGCTCGTAGTACTAGTAAGTTTAAAACCTAACATGGCTACAGCAGAGAAAACAAATGCGCTTACACCTGAGTCTTGCCGCTTCCCGTGTCCATCTGCAAATCCGTATAATTAGAATTATTACATTCTGTGCAAATTTGGGTAGTATTGGGAAACAAGTGAATCTGCGAATCCACTCACGGCAATAATGATATTCTCGCGTAGACTCGCCTCCAGCATTTCCAGCTGGTAGGCTCGAGGTTTGAAAACCGAAGTGGAATTTAAACCATTTTCAATCACCCCAGTGTTCAATTTCGAATCCGCAAGGACATGATTGGATTCTGTCAAGGTTTTGCGTCGCTTATGGCCATTTCGGCTATCCGCACGAGGGGCTGGCATTCGGGGATGGATGATGGCGTTTGAGGGAGCGAAAGTGCGGAATATTTTTGGAAGTTTGGCGGGGTTAATTCCTGATCTGATGGAACATATTCTGTCATATAAATAATTCCTAGTTGAGAAAAACGATTGGAGGCCTCAAAAAATAAATACCTTCAAGATCCCGGCCGGGAAAGTTTTTCCGGCCGGAAAAACTTTCACATGATTCACAAAACTATCTCCCATGTGTTATTTTTTCTTTTCATATACCTAAGGCCTTTGCACTTAAGCAACCCTAATCCCTAATCCTAGCCTTTGTGGATGAATGGATGTGTTTTCAATGGAGAATACCTCTCTGAACCAAATTCAACAGAATCGTGACGTAGATTTGATTTTGCCATTCGGTCACCTCAGCAGTCAACTGGAACTGCGAGCCGTTGATGCCTGTGACATTGACATTTATGATTTGCCTTTGGAAGAGCTGGCAGAATAAAAGTAACACTACGAAGCTACAAATAAAATAACAAAGGGAATCAAAAGAGACTGATTATTGTGCGCTAAACATGAAGTCTATCATAGGTTTGTCAAGTAATCCTCAATCTCCTCCTTGGTCAGTTTCCGGAACCGTGGGCCTCTGGCGCCCTCAACGCCCTCATATCCCAATAGATGGTTGGCCGGGGGTCCAACGATACCTGTATAATTTATTAGTTGCACCCTACAAGAAAGGCGTAGCAGTCGATAAGGGGGTTGGGTACGACATACCAATTTCAACGGTTTCACCATTCATTTCACCCTCGATGGTCTCCTTTAGCGTGAGAAGTGCAATATGGATAGCATCTTCCAGCTCAAGGCCATCTGTGTATCTCTTTTCGAGGAAGGTCTTCGCGCTGGTCGCACTCTTCCCAATTGCGGTGGCCTTCCATGGGAAATAGCTGCCGCTAGGATCGACCTGGTACAAGCTAGGACCACCTTTGAGAATTCCGCCCGTTTTTCCAGATACTTTCTTCTTGTCCGTATCTGACTCGCTCTCTGCAATTGTAGGTTCGACCCCGTCATCCCAGCCCGCAATTAGCAAACTGACGCCATATGGCCTGACACCCCCGGACTGCGTAGCCTCTTGGACGACTCGGGCAACATCCTGGACCAATATTCTAGTTGGCGGGTACTCATTGTAAATGCGTTTGTAGCCAGTGTGGGAGGTTTTCCGGGCCTTATCGACAAGGACACGGTAATCGGGACCCATTCCAGAGTAGACCATGCCGATATCTGGGGTGATTAGGGAGACTTTTGACAGAGAAGGAGGGTCTATCAGGGGCGAAGACGATTTTTTCTCTGTGGCAAGGACGACTCCATTTGTAGCTGCCAAAGGAAAATTTATTGAAAGCAGTCAGTAAAGCGTTGGCATGCTTAGATACAGTGCGGAGCTCAAGGCGGCTTGAGTGTTGTTACCTTTGATACCCAACGCAGTAACGCCTTGGTTAACGGCATTTAAAGCATATTCTACAGGAAATTAGTCGACATAAAACTAGTATATACCATGACATATCTGCATACCGATCTGAACCAGCTTCCCACTACGGTCTTTGTTAGTAACTCGAGCTCGCAAAACAGCACATGTGTGGGCAATAGGAACATACCTGGGAGAAAATGTAGTCAAAGAGAATGAATAACGATCGGCCATGGTGAGAAGAAGTACACAAGCAACGGGCTCGGAAGAGGGAGAAACGCAAAACCACACGACGTCAAATGGGACAGCAATTTGATTGCAGAAAGTGGCTGAGCACAAGTTGAATGCTCCTGCGCTTCCCGTAGGCTCACCGGCTGGTTGACGCGGCAGGCTCTAGCCGCGTGTAGCGGTTATAACAGCCAATTGTAAGTAGTAACGCCTAATATACCTGTTGTGGCTTAGCGGAGGTTTTTACTCTCCACCACCACATCTTCATTCCTTGCATACCTGTCCACATCAACATCATCAACAACAAGTTGTCTGCTCCGCTGCTAGCGCAGGATGTTTACCCCACTGCAACGTTGGCCAACTAAGCAGCCAGAGCTACAAGCTGGTTGAGCATTTGTACTGCCGTTTATCTCGTTAATTTGTTCCTGTTGTATCTCTACATCTATCTTTAATACCCAATCGGCAAAGCCCTTTGTTTTTTCTCCTTACAAGCCCAGGATGTCGCTTCGCTCTGCTCAAAGAACTGAGCCACAGTGGCAGTGGCCAGAGTTTGCAACGGAACCTACAGCTGGAGCTACAGATAGCTCACAACGGCGATCGAAAGTGACTGATAATACCCGAACCCAACCACGTGCACAGGAACCAAGTGAGGAAGACCCTTCTTCGTCCGCATCTTCCGGCTCATCCAGATACTATCATTCCAGAACATGCCGTATTTGCCTGGAAGTTGTTCACCCCACCTTCCAGCCGGTCTCGGAGGATCTTCCGGATTTCCTCCAGTCCATTCCTCGAGTTACTTATGAGTCGTCAGACCCCGAGCTAGGGCGTCTCATTAAGCCTTGCAAATGCAAAGGATCATCGAGATATGTGCATGAAGGCTGTTTGAATGCATGGCGACATGCGGACGCTGCATTTTCGGAGAGGAACTATTGGCAGTGTCCCACGTGTGGCTTTCAGTATCGACTTGAGAGGATGAGATGGGGTCGTTGGATCACGAGCACCGCAACTCAGCTTGCTCTCACAGGCGTTATACTTTTGCTTGCGATGTTCCTACTTGGTTTTGTTGCTGACCCGATAATCAACCTGTATATTGATCCGTTTAACACCATACTTTCACGTTTATATGATCCCGATGCTGCAGAGAAGATTATCCATCTCGACGAAGGTGCTCCGGAAAGGACAACATGGCCTGAACATTTCTTCAAAGGCCTTGCGTCTCTAGGCGTTTTGTCATTTGTAAAAGTCATATTTGCGCTCTCTCCATGGCAGTGGTGGAATTTACGCAATTCAAACCTTGTTGGCGGTGGGCGGAGGCCTGCCGCAACTGGCAGGGATCGAGCCGCCCAAGTCGGCTGGGTCGTTCTTTTGATAGGAGTGATGACATTCCTTTGGGTAGGTTTCCTCCACTCGTTCTTCCTCTTGGTAGTTACTGATCGGGACCTACAGACTGTATACAAAGGCATACGGGCATGGAGCCGTAAAATGCTTGAGAAAGCTGGCGATCGCGTTTTGGATGTCCCATTAGAAGACGATGATGAACCCGAGGACACCTTGCATGCAGATTCACGGGAAGTGCCAACTTCCAAGAAGGATGATTGATTTTCAGATATCTGTTTTGTGTTCTATACCCCTCCTGTTGCAAAATTGCATAGCCTCGCGAGTTGATAATTAGAAAGAACGCTTCACCTCAAGCCCTCCTTGGTCTTCACCCAACTTCCTCCGTCTGAAATTTCTATCTACACAAATTTATACATACCACGCACTACTTAAGTTGTCACGATCTTACCGATGATGTGCCAATTAGTCAATGTGCGAAGATCAATGAAGCCTTCGTTAACTGCCTTCATTTCCAAATTATGGACGAGATGCATTTCCTAAGCCTGGGAACGCTAAACGTTTTGTTTATTGTTTCATTGCTTTACCATCTTATATCCATGGATTTGTCGGTGGGGAGGTTTGATCGTAGTCTCAATCGGTATGGTGCGCTCTGGGGACTGTGCAATTAATTCACTTCAGTTTTTACCCGCATAGTTCCGCGTCGTGGTTCCTGTATATTCATTATTCCCTTTTACTTGGGGTTTTGTTTTACTTAGATGGGGATTTTCCGAGTGTTCGTATAGGATTGGACTACGGTACAGATCAGCATTGATTTTGCTCCTACCATTTTTCACCGTCGATGGCTATTATTATTATTGTACGATACACTGCATTTTGGAGGTTAATTAATCAATGTGTTCATTGACTACGTTTGTGTTTATTATGCCTATGCATTTCTCCTTTCATCGGACACTGCGTCGTTCCTCGTCTCCCTTTCTATATTTCCCAAACAAACAACACCACTACTAGACTGACAACAGTTGATTTACCCACGATACTCCGCCCCACAATCCCCCATATCGCTAAACATATCCCCACGCCGACTCTGACACAACACCTCCTCTAGCATCTTCGTATCCTCCGCGTCCAACCGCCACCCATACACTGCCAGGTTATCCTCCGTATGCTCGCTGACGCCCATACGCACCCCCACGATCACGGCCCCCACGTAACTGAAATCTAGCACCCACCGTATCGCGACGGCGGAAACGCTTACATCGTGTTTGCGCCCGATTGCTGAGAGGGTGCGGAGGAGGGTCTGGAAGAGGGGCCATGAACCCCAGATGTTTATCATTTCGAGATATTATGCTAGGTGTTGGTTTTAGGTTTTTATTTATGGGCTTGGAGAGAGAGAGGGGGGTGGGGGGGGGGAAGTGGGGAGGAGGAAATGAATTGGGCTGAATTATGAGGGCGCATTGTTATGTTAAGTGCGCAGCTATGTGTGTATGTTATATATACGTACCTTTCGCAGGCTGGGGGTCATGCCTGTGCTGAATGGATCTGGCTCGTCTTTTGCGATCCATTTTTCGGAGAGGAAACCGCCGCACTACATATCAGGGAAGAGTTAGTGGTTCAGAGCATATGGCATATTAACGAGTCCAGCGATGATGGGGAGACCGCCCTTACCAATGTCCCATAGGTTAGGAGTTTGATGTGATGTCTTTCGCATGCCTTTGCCATAGCGTATGTTGGTCGGGCATCAATGAGTGAAAACTGAAGGAGATTTATGAATTTTGCGTTCACAGTTAACATCGGTGATCGTATAATGTTAAGGTACCGGGTCTCCATTCATCCAAGAGTAGAAATTCTTGATATAGTGTTACCTGCACTTGATTTGTCGCGACCTTCACACCAACACTGATAACCTCTTCCATTCGCTTCGTGTCAAAATTACACAGACCCAGTGCAGCAACGCGCTCATCGTCTTGGAGAAGCTGGAGAGCACGGACATATTGCGAGTTACTATACTGTTGGATGGACAACAAATTAGAATGGCAGACTTCATTTGCTGATAACAGAAACAAATTGTATATGAGATTTGTAGAAGTATGGCGCCGTCTCTTTTCGAAGACAAAAATTGTAGGAATGATATAAATAATGCACAGGTACGTTTACATGTACTGTACAGTTCATGTACAAATGACAGAGATATGGAGGTAGAAAACACACATCTTGCCAATGAAACTGGAGCAAATCGATTTTGTCCGACTGTATATTTGCCAGGCGCTGCGAGACGGCATTGCGCATTCCATCTTCTGTCACCCTGATAGGTTCAAAAACGCAGTACTTTGTTGCACAGAAGGTGGATTTTGGTCCTGAATAAGAAGATCGGAATTGCGCCTGTAGAGGGTTCGATTAGCCTTCTTTCGTTCCTTTATTTTCAAACATTCACAAAAGAAAGGTACACGTAGATTATTCTCTCGACTCACAAAGATAATTTCGGCATCACCGTAGTGATCAGCCATATCTGCTCGTCGAGCCAGTTAGGATAATTTCTCAAGGAATCTCTTGACATGAATGCTGCTAGCGCCCCTCTGAAGCACAGCACAATGACTCAAATCTGTTACCGTTCATGATTGGTATACAATCATCACATATAATGGTCCATGGGCTATAGAAAAATCCGTACAGATGAATAGCACAAGTGTAGGCCGCTCTACTCACCATATGCAGTAAACCCGGAGTCGACATGTTTCTGGAATTGGCTCAACATCTTCGATTTACTGGCGAAGCCCCATGCTGGACTTGATAGCTGCCACAGCCCGATCATCAACCTTGGAACTACGAATGACTCCAGCTGGAAGTATTCAATCGCACGGGCATTTCCCTCAAGGGGCCACATTTTCACAGCCGAAACATCGATTTCAGAGCCAATTGTGGCCATGGTGAAAAAAGGAAAAAAGAAGCGATATAAAATTTAGAACATCCTTAAAGCTGACGTTACAGATCGCATGATATTATCGTTTATAGATAGTACGGATAGTTTTAAATATTTATTAACCAGGGATCCGAGCGGCGTATATGAAGCATAAGTCGTCAGCTAACGAGATTGGGGCGAGCCGGATACAGTAATTCCACCCGCTGGGTCGGCACTGACTTTCGAGGGCAATTAAAGGGGGATACAAACAGGTGGCTTCGGAGACCGAGATAAAGTCGGGGTTCTAGGGTCCCAGGGTGGATAAAAGTGGGCCAATGCAGGGCTATTCGGGCTACATGATGGAAATGCCGTTTTGACTGCGGACAAGTAAATAGTTTCGCCTGTCTGCTTTGAGGGGCGAGTAGTTCCTGAAGCGGTGGAGGTCGCTGAGGTTTTGATAGTTTCGTAGAAGATTTATTTCGGATTAATATAGTAACTTCTATCATAAATGGGGAACCGTGTTAGAAGGATGATCGATGTTGCAAATTCAATGTAGCCAGCTGAGAGAGAAAGAATGGAATGGTACTCCGTATATGGTCTAACGCATTTGATGTTGATTGCATATACGTCATTTCTACATGATTCCCCCATCATAAAAGTGCGAAAATGGCCGAACGTGATATGTACTGTGCATGTAGAGGATAAATGATGAAGACGAGAAAATGGATATCAGAAGGCAGGTTTGGATATCTGGAGCATTCCAACAAGGACACAACAAGAAAACTGGTCAATATATTTCCCCGTCCTCTTTATTCTCATTCCCACATCTGCGAGAGAATACTCTCCAGCATCACCGAGCCTCTTCCAAACCCGAATTCCCCTCCCATTCCCTCACTCTGTTCTCTGCAATTCTCAAGGTCTGTCCGAAGCCTCAACAACACCTGACGCTGAGCAGTAGGCATCCCTCCCTTTGCCCAATCGTGGAGTATCGCCAGCTTCTGCACCGCTGTAAGTGCCTGGACTAAGTCCCCATCTACAGCAGCTAGCGCGAGCACCAGACTTTCACCTTCCAGTACCGTATCATCAAGTTCAAGTCCGCAAGATTGCCGGACTATCTCTGCCAGGAGCTGTAGACTTTCGAATGGTAGGCCTGAGCCGAGCAGAGTGCATATACGATTTCGTAGTTTCGCCAATTCTGGCGTCGGGATCGAAAATGACGACGATGACTTGTCGACCACCGAAAATAATGCGGGAGTGGACGTTCTCTGTGTTCTCTGGAGATCATGTCGCAGGTATTTCTGCACGTGATGCTGCAGCTTGTGCGTGAAGTGGCCGTTCTCATCTGCTGCGAGCATTGAGCGAAGGATTACTCTCAGTGCATCTGGACTGAGGTTTGTGATGAGCGTATCTGTCATGAGGTTGACGTGAGAAACCCTCGCCGCCGTTCCATTTATTCTGTTGACGTCCATGCGAGCTTGGGATGCAGCTCTGGTTAGAGGCAGAAAGCAATATGTTTTATACTCGACGCAGGCAAAGCTGGGAGTAGGTTTTGAATAGTTATTATTTTGTGATTTATTGTTGCCAATGCCAATGACATTATCCGCTAAGTTCATTAACTAGTTAGTGCTGGTTTATCCTTATAAAGGAACTCTGCGTCGATCCAATAAAGTCAACAGAAACAGCCGAATCTGCGGACGAGGGTCAGGGATTTCTACCGGCAACGCTATCGGGATTCTTCTTACGGCCTCCACGACGAGGCGCGCATTCTTTTTCCAGTTACGGAATAAATTAGACTCGCGCTAAAGTGCTGACGATTGTCACCGATGCACCTCGTGCAGGCTGTAGGGCGGTGGGGGAGAAAATTCCGGCGTCCAAGGAAAGCTTCGAACAAGGTTAATAATAAGAGAAGAGTTATTAGTGGTTTTGGAACAGCATCCTGGCGTCTTGCCGCCACAACGTCAAGACGTTGGTTGGTTGGATTGTTTGTGGAACGGCTTCGGTTCTATGGATTCGAGGGCGAGATGAATCGAATCCAGGCAACCTTGTGGTGTCGCTAACTTACAAATTCAAAAGTTTTACCCACGAGATTTCCAGTATACTGTTCATTTCAATTCAACATGTGCGAACGATCAACTCTGGCACAAGTCGAATGCGGCTTGTGGTGGCGGAAACAAAGTATAGAGATTGACTACCGGTACGCTGATACATTCCTTTTGCATCATCTGAGCTACATGAAGGTTTAAACCTCCGCATTTTTTCCACGCGAATGAACTAAAGCGACCCTGCAGAGGATGGCCCATGGATACCCAGGCACCGAGGTTTCTTTAAAAGGCCGTGGCCTCCTACGGTGTTCCAGGGCTGGCGCCAGACCTTGCCCGTTCTGGCCTGGGCTTCCTCGGCTTCAAACTTACAATAGTTCAGCGGGAATTTTGTTACCTCGACATAATGATCTAAAGTTAGATCGGCAGTCCCTTGAGCATGGAGCCCGGAGCGAGTAGCAGCTGGTTATCCAGTTCTTCTTCTGGCCTGTTTCGCCTGAAGTCCCGCTAACCACGGACAGCTGGATCTAACAATTATTTGGCCCTACGCCACCTACATTCTCCAAGCTCTGCCCTGGAACCACGACGGCGGCGACAACGACATTGTACCGTAGAGGAGAAATGAATGAATTCGCCCTTTGTTTCTAATAAGTTCGAATTGTCATTGTGTCTGTTATTTTGCCTATTATGCCGCCTGGTGCAGCAAACTCGTCCATGGTGGCGTGCACACCATGCCGTGTTGTCAAGATGAAATGTACTCGCGAGTTAAACTCGACCATATGCTCCCGTTGCAAGCGCAAGTCTTTGACTTGTTATTTTGAAGCACACCGACGTGGCCGCAAACCCGGCACAAGGTGAGTGATGGTTTTCGCGGCAAACCTTGGGGCTTTCTACTGTTTTCGACCACTGCTCCTTTCTATATCAAACGCGAAATGAGATTTGTTGGAACTCAAGGGTGGGGGTTTACGACCAGAGACTACCCGATTTGAAATATCATCTTATCACCATTGATATATTCCCTTTGCTAATTATTTGGTTGTTGCTGCAGGTTGCGTCCAAAACCGGAACGAATTCAGGAGAGAGGCTATCTTGGATCAACATACCGCGCACCGTCAACCCCATCAACGGATAGAGATGTGCCAGCGAGTGTAGAACGCAAGGAGTGTTCAGAGCCTTCTCTGGCATCTGATAGTCTTGCGCCGTATGGCTGGCTCCCGAAATCCGCTACGGCTGGAAAATTTTCCATCGCAAACGTACTCAATGCAGAAGACGAATCTCCCACACATCATGCTTCGGAATACAGAGCCCGAAGCTTTGCAACAGATGAAAACTACGTCAATGATATGAACGATCCTATAAACCTCGATATTGTCGATCTTCCTACGTCCCGCATTTTGTTTGAAAAGTAAGCATCTTTCTCTTTTTCTCAATTATAACACTGGTGTTGAGAGCATTGTTTGGTGTGGCATCATAAAACATGACTGACTATATATATCCCATGGTATAGCTTTTTCAATTACATGAACCCTTTCATCTGCCAATTTGATCCAAGACTACACACACTTAAATACATACGAACACGGTCATCTTTTCTGTTTTCCGCCGTCCTTGCTGCGGCAGCAAAGATTTTCAAGCCATCCTTATACTCCAAACTTCATGAACATGTAGAACACATCCTCAAAGATGTCCTAAGCTCCGGAAAAATCTCGACAGAAATTGTGCAGGGAATCTGTCTTTTGACCTATTGGAAAGAACCAAGTGATTCACGGGCATGGCTCCTAGTGGGTTACGCTATACGGGCGGCTATAGAAATGGGTTGGCACAAGTTTAAACCACCGCCTCTACATCACACTGAAGGCTCAACGCGAGAACCAATGGAATCAGAGATTGAAGTCCGCGAGCTGCGAAGTAAAGAACGAAGTTGGCTTATGCTATTTGTGTATGACAGAAGGTACGTATATTTTTCGTTTTTATTATAATTCTTATCTTATTTCACCTGGTGATATCTCGTCGATAATTTATCCAATGTCTAATCCTTCAACTCAGTGTGAGCCTACAACTGGGAAAGCCATGGATGATTCAAATTGATTCCCTGATTCGAAGCGCAGAAACTTGGCACCAACATGTCTACGCGGTGCCTGGTTGTGATCAAATCATGTCTGCGTTCGTACAGCTCCGCATCCTTGGGTCTGAGATTGTAGAGCTCTTCTGGATCGATCCAGTTGCCACGACTGCACAATCGATTATCAAGAATGAAGTTATCTTGAAGCTCTTCAACGGCGAGTTGGATAGATGGGAGGCTAAATGGTACAAGATTGTCGAAGAAGGTATGTTTTCCAGACTATACTTTCTTTTGACCACTGGCTCTTTCATGGCATTACTTCTCTCCTTTTAATCGCATAGAGATCCTGCCATTAGTATTAGCAAGTGGAGGGATATCTGTAATATGGTTCTAACAGCATTCATTTTTTTGTTTTCAATATTCTAGTCAGCACCAATGTTGCCCATCGCTTTATCATCCGGTTTTACGGAACGCATCTTCGACTCCTCTTGAACTCCTTTAGACTTCAGCTCTCAATCCTGAGTGGGAATATTTCCAAACAAGCACTCTGGGTTTGCTATACCAGTTCCTTGGACATGCTTCGCTTAGTTGTTGACAGACTTGGGGTAACATCCCACTCGCCTTACTGTCAAGACTCTGTTCATGTAATGGTCGCATATGCTGCTGTGGTTATGATCAAGGTATGCTATCTCCATTATTCTAGTGTTTGGTTTCCATCATTCCCCGTTTTATTTGCGTACCCTCTAGGATAGCTTTTCATCATCACGACTCTTCCTATCACTGATAAGCAAATAGATCTTGCTCTCTTTACCGGGAGAACTCCCTGTCGAATCCGAAAGCCTGATCCTCGAACTCATCAGCGAAACTGGCAAAACCTTCAGCACACGAGGCCAAGCTACAAACACTAGCTCCTACCACCAAAGTAGATTCCTCGCAAACGTAGTTGCTCAGTACCGGAAGTCGAAAGAGGAACCATCATTCCCATCAAACAAATGGCTGAAACAGCAACACCAACTTCTAGAGCAAAGAGGGAACCTAGGATATCGTCTTCGTCAGTTACCTCCTCCCCAACACCAGGGAGGAAATACGGCATCTCAACTATCGACTTCCCCGCCCCAAACAATTCCGCCCCTATCCCCCCCAACAGTCTCCGGAAATGTGCAGGGATATCAGCAAACCTCGCTTCCCCCTCCACAACATCGAGAGCAGCAGCAGCAACTGCATCAGAACCACTTCGACCAACCCAATACCAATCAAGCCCAAATAACCTTACAGCCGGACCCACACCAATTCCCTCAAGTTCAAGCAAACACACAGCTATCACAGCGAGCATGCCCGCCACTGGACCTCAATCCATGTCCAGTTCTTAAAGCTCGGAATAACAACATTTTTACAACCTCTACACAGAATAACATCGAGACCTTTATGGCGATGGAAGGCCAGAGTACTGCTACACCATTATTTACTGATAACCTCGTCTGGGAGGATCTGTTTGCGCACGCTGGGTTCAATATTAGTAGTGGGGCGTTTTTGCCAAAATTGGCCGATGGGACCGGGATGGGCGCTTGAGTTTCTGCCGGGATTGATGGCATGCACATGAGCTATGTATATAGGATTTGGATACACAAAATTTGTATTTCACGACATATGACGATGATGTGGGAAGGTGAGTACTAATGTGCAGTTGCGACTTTTCGTTATATTGTCGATTAGCTCCCAACCCCCAACTTCCATTTTTCGTTAACTCAAAATATTGAAGTTGGCTCACGAATATAGAGTATTTTATCTAACTATTTAGATTTGCGTTGCCACAGCGTAAACAATGTAGTTTAATGTCCTACTAGCCGGCAACCCCTTACCATCCTCGATGCTGCTATCTGCATCAATCCAAAATCAGTCTCATTCCCAGTACCACGCGTCATCCCATCATTCGTCCCAAACACATAACCCTTCCTCCGAAGCTCGCCCGCCCCAAAATGCGCACAAATATCCTCCATGTAAATGCGTGGTGTTCCCACCTCCTGTCCCCAGGGTCATCAACATCCCAAAATAAGCCCCCCCTCCCCGGTCCTCCTCCGCGCCGTCCCCTCCGCGCCGTCCCCTTGCTCATGCCGATGTTCATACTCTCTCCGAAGCGTGCACGGATCACAATACATTCCAGACTTCGCCATCTGCCCCTGCGCCTCCCAATACGGCAAATCCGTCGCACCCATCCCCACCCCACCGGGCCGTGCCATTTCATAAGACTTGACCATCCAAGTGCGGAATGATGATGTTACCGCGCTGCGTCCTCCATCATCACCGCCTCCCGCAACGCTCGCAAGAACAGCATGTTTTCTTGTGATCCAAAAACGGACCAGTCCGCTCCTGCGCGAACAGGGAAACGCATGTAGAGTCGGCAGCTGCATTAGCAGCAACATCGGAGTCTCCAATTCTCCGGGCGTGAGGGTAGCAACGTGACCCATAAGACAGCTGACGCGGGTTAGTTGAAGTGGATACATGTCCGAAGGCACTAGCTGCAGCACCGGGTTTGGTGGGGAGGAACACGGCGGTGCGGCGGTGCGGCGGTGCGGCAGTTCGGGCGTCGGAATTTGGTGTAGAGCCGACGAAAAGCGGTACGGAAAAGCGAATTCAGCTTGAATTCGGCTTGATGACTTTTATCTGAAATGCAGGTGTAAATTGCCTTTTACCACAACTAACATTTCAATTTCAAATAACTACTAGAGGCAGCCTGGGGCTGGGCGAACACAGCTCTAAATTCAAGGGATAAATGGATTTTTAGTTCTGCATTAATTTAACTGGTGGAGGGGGACTGGCTGGGGGTGGATATCCTCTCAGGTCTCAGAGAGCTTAAGAGCACTGCAAAAAATAAATAAAAAAAATGAAGTGCCGGGGCTTGTATAGATGAGAGAATTTACAGTGAGTGAGCAAACAGTTGGCTAGCTAGCCAGCAACCTCCATTGAAATAGAGATCTGGAGAAGATAGAGCAGAGAAACAGCAAACTATCTACTGAACTCAATGGAAATAAAGATTGCTAGTTAGCTCGCGAGCTTGCTCACTCACTGTATATTCCCTAATCTATACAGGCTTCAAAGCTTTTCTCTGTCTATTTTCGCAGTGCTCTTATGCAACTGCATCTCTATAATAGATCTGAGCAGGTACCCTTCACTTAAGAAAATGTGGAAGTAAAGATGCATTTATCCCTTGAAATTCAGGTATGTGTTTGACTTCCAAAAAGCGCTAGGGGAATCTAGGAAGACAGCGTGATATTCACAAAGTACTAAAGATAACCAATCTTCATCAATCTAATCAATATTCAATAAAGATTGGCTGTGTATTTATGATGTGATATCATGTGGAATTAGGTGAGAATGGTATACTTCCCTATAAATCCATTAAGGTCGATTCAGTCTTCCGCAGGGGGAGCGGGATGAGAGCTGGACGGGATAGAAGTTAGTTAGGGAGGTAATGTGGGGGCGACACGGTCAAAATTAAAAATTATTTAGCTGCCTACATCAGACAGGCTAGTAACATGGATAAGGTACATGTATAAATAAAACGAGCAGCAACCGATAGCAGTAAATAACAATAGCTGCACACATATATAAGCTGTATACCATTGAATCACAGTTTGCGAGATCAGTGGGCCCGATTTTAAATGGACAAGTGCATGGCGGATATATATTATTCCCGCCCTTCCCTTTTCCCCTTTTCCCCCGATAAAACAAAATGATCGACCTTTCCTTTTCCACCCTTCGACGAACTCATGCATACATAAAACATAAATAAACACGTGAAAAGAGGAAAGATAAACCACATAACGCCGCCCATTTCTAACAAACAAAAACTAGAAGCAATAGGTAGCATTGGACGGATAGGAGAGGCAACTGGAAGTGGATGGGCTGGGCCTAGGATTTCCCAAATATTCCCTTTTCTGTTAAAGTCTTTGCAAATACAGCAACGGCCGATCCAATAAGGACCATCACCCCGGAAAAAATAGATACTTCGACAAATCCGTGGTACCTATTGACCAAGGCACCGGTTATGGGTGGACCGATCAGTCCAGCAATGGATGAAATGCCCATGCCCATGCCCATATATGTACCGATAGTTTTTGGGTCATCGGTACTTGTCGAAAGGCAGACAATCACACCCGATATGATAGCACCAGAACAAAAGCCAAAAAGACCAGCGAAGACTATTATTCCCGCATTACTCGTAATTTTGGGCCAGCAGAGTATGAGAATCCCTGAGGAGACCCCGGATGCTATAACCGCATTGAGGCTTCCCAATTTGTCAGCTAGGACACCAGGGACGACTCTGCCGAGGAAGGAAGCGGCGTTCAGGATCGCAATGAGGTATGAAGCGAGCGTCTCGTCCATTCCATGCTGGACAGCATAGACCGGAAGATAGAATATTGGGGTAAATATGCAGAGAATCATGAGACAGGCAAATGTAATGATGGTTACGTATAGCGGCTTCTTGAATGCAGACAGGAGGAAAAATTTCCCTTTCCGAGGAGGAAGACGAGCACGGATCGCCGCGCAAGATGGTGCCAGAATAGCTAAGATTAAGAAGCCAAGAATGCGTATGGACCATCCAAAACCGATCGTGGTGGAATTGAGTAGTTTTCCGAGGACAATTGGGAAAACGACACCTCCAACGGAAGATCCAGCGACTGCAATACCCATGGCTGCTCCCCTGTTTTTGTTGAAATACTGTGGGGTTGCAGCCATGGAAGGAGACATGGTCATGCCCATCGAAATTCCACCCAGCACTCCCTGAGCTAAGATGAACTGGTAATATTCTTTCGCGATGCTCGTCAACATGATGGAGAAAACATAGAGCACTGCTGAGGGCCAAATGACCTAAGGAGATGTCAGTTCCTTTCCACCCTTCTGCATATTAAAAGGACGCGTTGTTCTATGATACCTTCGCTCCATATCGGTCAAATAGAGGACCTCCCACGAGGGCGCCTGAGAACAGGGCACAGATCTGTAGTGATCCGATCCAGGAGATAGCGGACTGAGACGTGCTAGAGAGTTGATGGGAAGCATAATACTCTTGGAGAACCCTAAGGAAACGCGTTAGAGACAGGAGACACAAGACGAAATGGGACAAAGTGGCATCAGCACGGGTTGCTAGGAGACGCAGAAAGGCATAAACGCATACCCAAAAGCGTTTGCCAGTCCGAAAGTGGTGCACAGTATACCAGAGGTGCCGATAGCCACAGCCCACGCCCTGACGCCTCCATCTGGATAGGAGTCGTTCGGTTTGGAATCGACGCAGTTTCCTGAGTCTCCTTCGTGAGAACTTTTCAGATCATGCACGTCTGGAGTGCTTGACGCCTCGTGGGAGCTTTCAGCCATTGCGGAAGCTTGAACTCTCGAATTTAACTGCGGGTTGCTTGATGGAACCTTGAGGTCCTCAAGAAGCAGAAGAAGTATAAGCGTGTTGAAGGGAAAAAGGGAGAGGAGAAAAGCCTCAGACTCAGAAGGCGTTTTTGAGAGAGAAGAAGCGAAGGCAAGCACGATAGCAAAGCACTGCTTGCCTTGGAGATAATACTGAGATAAAATGCTAAAGGTAAATGATATAGCGAATATTGAAGATATCGAGAAAGATATGTGTATTTGAGAAGGGATGTTCACATATATATACACACAACGTATGATATTTGGATTGCTTTGAAATGGTTGTGGATGCGTGCAGTTGTTCGTGGCATGATGGGTGTCGCAAAAATCCCCCCCATCCTCTGCTACTGGCATTCAGGAAAAGAGATCTCCATAACTACGGAATAAACGAGGATTATCGGGCAAAATCATTACTGGGATCCCGAGCTACAACAATATCTCGAACCCTTGCAGGACAGGAATCGTCGGGCCTTGAGACGCCCGAGGCCGAGTCGACTCATTCGAGTTCCGGTCAGTGGTCGGGGATTACAGAAAGGGACAATGGGAAACATCAACCCGTAAAACCCCCAAGACCCGTTAAGAACCAGTATCCCCGTGCACTCCCCATCAGATACTCGTGAGGGTTTGCGATTATCGAATGGCGGCATATCCAAATGAGTGACTCGAATATCCAACGGATTGTGCTTTGATGTCGTTGAAGTTGCCAAAAAGGGAAATCAACGAACAAACCATCAAGCGTGGATCACATGACAAGGTCTTCACGGAGCTAACTAGTGACTAATTCACCGGGCTCGCGAGGGAATATCCCGTATTTCACGGGCTTTTGCTGCTGAATTCTCCGCCGCTTGGAGCCGAGTCGACGACGTGGACCAAGGAGAAGAAGAGAAGAGAAGACGAGAAGAGAAGACGAGAAGAGACGCAGAGAAGAGAAGCAGAGAAGAGACGCAGAGAAGAGAAGCAGAGAAGAACTTTGACGACTTCGTTGGGAAACAAAGTGACAGAAATATGGATGATACGGATCTTCTGTCATACAACGGCGATGCCGTACCACGTAAACGACGTCGGCCGGCGTTGGCGTGCGACCAATGTCGTCGCCGGAAGGTCAAATGCGACCAAAAAATGCCGTGCGATCAATGCCAACGATCCAAGAATCTCTCGATTCATACATGTTCCTATGTTCATGTCCATGCCGCCGTTGGCTCCTCTTCAACAGGGCCTCATGCTAGCCTACAATCACAGCAACAATCACAACTCTCCTCAGCTCCCCCAGCTCCCATTATTCCTATCCCTCAGGTAACCCAACGTGAAAATTGCGCAGCATATCCATCGCCTTCTACGGCAAATGTTTCTGGCTCGAGTCCACATGTAGATGACCAAGGAAGCGATATCGCCGGATCTACTCGCAATGCCAACCGGGACCATCAATCTGCGGTGACGATTCAGGCGCTCGTGGATAGGGTCCGCCTCTTGGAGAAGAAACTTTCAGAGTCTACGAGCACGAACTCTATTTCTAGCTTTCCTCCACCCCGCTGCGGACCGAGAGAGGTGTTGGATGATCCTCAAGGTTTGCCTGCTCCCGTGAGCGAGACGTTCTCGAAAACGAGATTTTTTGGGAAAAGTCACTGGATGAATTGTGCTAAGGAGGTTGGGGCAATTCCTTTTCATTTTGTTTTGGCCCCTCTACTTCGCGATCTAGCCTTACATTCTTTTTACTCCTCCGCTTCAGTGTCACTTCCGTTGGGAGGGTTGTATCTATTCTATATTCCTCAAATATACTCGCTAACTGAAAGCTAAAAGTTCGAGACGGTATACAATTTCAAGCATCGACTTGAAGTAGATAATAACTCTGAGATATCCAGAATGATGGTTCGATGTAAGACGCTGGCAAGAGCTGCAAAAATAAGACGTCCAATACGCCAGCTAGATTATCCGGACTTGAAAGACCTTGTTCCTCTACGTGAGACGGCGGACGAGCTTGTCACGGGCTATCTTCGTACCTTTGAGTCTGTTTATCGAATTTTACACGTGCCCACTTTCCAGCAGGAATATCTTCAATTCTGGAATAGCCCTCAGTCTGCGAGTCAGTCTTTTGTGGTGCGCCTGCTCCTTGTAATGGCTATAGGCACTTGCTTCTATCAAAGGCCCGGTAGTTCCATTGCGCCTCGGACAATGGCAGCGCCATGGGTCTATGCGGCTCAGGCATGGTTGGGGGCTCCATCTGAGAAATCTCTCGTCAATATCGCTGCCGTCCAGGTACACTGCCTTCTACTTCTAGCGCGCCAGAATTGCGCGATTGATGGCGACCTAGCTTGGATATCGGCTGGCTCTCTACTGCGGGTAGCAATGTATGTTGGCCTACATCGAGATCCGCAATATCTTCCGAAGATGCCAGTCTTTCAGGCGGAGCTACGGAGAAGACTCTGGGCTACGATTCTGGAGATTTTGCTCCAGTCAAGCATGGATGCAGGCGGGTCGCCTCTAGTTTCGCTTGATGATTATGACTGCGAGCCGCCCTCCAATATCAACGATCAGGATATGAGCCCTGATGAGTCCACAGCCGTTCCCTACGTGACGGAGCGATTCACCAACACCAGCGTCCAAATCGCTCTCATAAAGTCTTTCCCAATCAGACTCCAGATAGCAAAAGCGCTGAAACGATATATGCTCGGAACCTTCATATGATGAAGTGCTAAGACTCAGCAGTGAGCTTATCGCCATCCACCGTGATAATTCGCATCACCTTTTTAACACAGCCCACCCCTCTCAATACGGAGCCACACAGCCCTCTATCTTCCAAGTCCAATCCGTCTCTATTCTCACCAATAGATTCTTGCTTGCTCTCCACCACCCCTTCGCTGTAAAAGCAAAAACAGACCCAAAATACTACTTCTCCCGTAAGATATGCATGGATGCCGCGCTCCACATCCTTTCTCCAAATAACCACACGGACAATGAGGAAGATGATGCGAATGTCACTGCCAATTCCAATGCCAATACGCTCCCCCACGGCAATGACTTTGAGTGCCTAAAACTCCACGCCGGAGGCCTCATCCGCAGCTCCATCATGTACGCACAATTCGCCATTTCCCTCGAACTCATTTACCAACTCCAGGAGGACCGGCCAGCGCCTTTCCCGTCAAACACGTTTCCACTCTCCTCTCCATCGTCGTCGGCCACCCAAACATGGCGAAGAGAGCTGCACGCTGCGACACAGAATTACATGCGACTCACGATGCGCCGGATCCAGATGGGCGAAACGAATGTGAAGGGATATATATTCTCCTCTTGTATCTTGGCACAGATCAAGGCGATGGAGGCAGGCGCGTCAGAGGTAAATGCGTACATTATGGAGGCGGCGAAAGAGGCAGTGGATCAGTGTCATACTTGGCTAAAGGAGCGAGCAAAGCTGCAGGGACGAAGTGAAGCTGAGATGAAGGACAATGAAGGTAATAGTTTAAATACGTACAATAATAATAATATATATGGCGATGGCGGTGGTAACAGTGACAACGAAAGCCAGAGGATCGAATGGGTTGATTTGGTAAGTAGCCCCCTTTTTTAAATGTATACTTCTGGCCATGCTTTTTTATTCTTAGATTCTTTTCATTTTGTGGCGACTTATTTATCAAGAAGAGATGTAAGATTTGTTCCCATAAAGCACTAATAATGGGAATTCGAGATTAGATGCTAATATTGGCATTCCTTTTACCAGGACTCACAGTTTCTCTTGGACATCCCCGATTCGTGGTTATTTCCAGCGTTCCCCTCGGGGGATCTGTAATATCACGAGTTTCTTTTTCCAGACCGTTGACGCTGTACGATTAGTTATAATATTATCATTTTATTTGTTTGTTGTCGCCTCCTGTCCTCAAGGGGCTGAACGGCATGTACTTTGTAAATCCAACAAGATGAGGCGTAGGTGGGACAGATTCTATTTTTACCAGCATAACGATTTGTCTTGGTTTTCATGCATGAACGATCGTCACTCATGTCGCCCCCAACTAAGCACGTCTCGGGATGCACGCCATCCCCCAATACTGCCCGCTAATTTGCCGTCCCCGTGGGGCGTTGAGCATTGGCTGTCACGCCTATCAATTCCCACATGAGATCTGACCACACAATGACGAAGACGCAAATCATTGATGGAGTAGCTACGGGTTGTATTGTATTGACCTGGCAGCTTGTAGGGCGGAATAACTTATTCCCTCTGCCAACGTTTGCAGTCATTTGGGCCTGTCAGTCATTGGATACGATATGGTAATGAATTCATAAACCATAAACCAAAAACGTTGGGGGATTCAAGCAGCAACCCGCCCGGTAAATCAGGATTGGGCTCTTGAGTTAACTACTGAGTTTTCATACTAGTCGGTGTCTCTCACCCCCAAAAATTGTCTCACTGGCTTTATGATAGGAAACAGGCAACGGGTTGACACTGGGGAATCCTTCGGGGAAAATATTTTGTATCTTCCATTTCCTTGCCTTGTCTTGGGGCGCTCTCTCGTCCCCCAGTTAAAATGCGAGGGATTGCAGCTGGTGAGGTATATTCCCAATGTACTCCGTACTGCGTACCGCATATTCACAGTATTAGTTACAGTGCCAGGCCATAAGTATTGGCAATCCCCACTGATTTTCTGTCACAAAAAGGCTCCATGATTGATGATTGCAGTGGGGGGTTGCCAATATTTATGGCCTTGTGCAGCGCATGGACGGACTGCTTTTGGCTGCTTTCGGATCCTTGCCCTAATTCATTTTTGCGAACAATTGCTGTTTTGGGACTGACAGAGAACAAAAACCAACATCGAAGCAAATAACGAATATCCCCATGTTTTATCCATTTTCCCCCTCAGGGCAACTCTCCCCCATGCTTCCGTGTAACTCCTGGCCCCTGTGTCTGGCACATGCAGATTACCTTCATGGATTGATCGGCGTACTGTAACGACAGACCCACGTTTGAAGAATATACTGGACATTCAATTCGCTCCTCAACGGCGCCAAGTTACACAGCACCGTCTCCCAGCCTCGCGCTGGCCAGCTGCAGGTCCAGCGTCATCGCTTGCTTGCTTGCTTGCTTTTCTCCGCCCACCCGCTGTGAGCCTGGTCGTTCAATCGTCCAATCTGCGAAGGCCCCATCCCCCATGACATGACATGACATGACATGACATGACATGACACGAGAATGTCTCCGACAGCCCAACTTGAACGCTGCCGGTCAAACCCCCTAACGTGCTGCTCGCTTGTTGCTCATCTGCACCTTGGCACCTGTGCGGAGTCAATGTTGGCCATTGGACGCCGCTAGCCCGTGCCCGGGGGCGGTCTGGTAGGCCGGCAGGTTGCTTGCTGTCATTGTCATCGTTGCACGGAGCCTCATCTTCTCTGGGAGTTTGATGCGCATGGTATCGCTGAAATACGAGCTGGGCAGGCTCGGCTGCTCTTGACTGTAGCGATTTGGATTCGGCTGTTAAAAATTCTTCGCTGCTGCTGTTCTTGTGGTTCGTCTCCTTGGCCTGGTTTGATTTTTGAGAATTCTCTCAATCCCAACCCCCGTCACCAAGAGGACCACCCCCCCCCCCCCCGTCTAGTGTGCCAGGTTTAATCCTGGAATGAGGGAGTAATTTTAAAAAAAAAAAAAACCAAAAAACCAAAAACAAAAAACCTCTTAAAATACACATATGCTTCGCCAGTGGTTTGTCCTGCTCCTTGAGATATTCTCTCTCTGGCTCCTGCGCCCATTCGACTATTATTGTTTCATTCCCGTGCGTCTTCCCAAACCACCGAGCCTTACTTCTTCCGGAGAGTTGTTTGATTTTGTTTCGCTCTTGGTGCGATCTATGAAACAGCAAAAACACAAATCTTATTTTAAAACCGCAGCTTGCTCTTTGTTTCCCCGTTTAAGTTACCGGGCTTTTTTTGACATGCTCTCCACGGTCAATATAAACTAAATTCACTAAACTGGGCAGGCCCTGCTTGAGGGCCTTTGGGTCACGTCCGCTGTTTACTTTGTCCTTTAGTCGGACGATGGACTCGCCATGATCCTGGGCTCGTTTAACTAATCTTCATCCGTCAGCTTCGATATTAGTGACTGAGTAGAAACAAGCTTGCCCTCTCCCCCACCGCCGGAAACAAAATGCAAATGTTTTCTTGTAGATATTGCTATTCTCCTAAAATCTCGCGGATCGTTATATTCGACCTCTTTCTGTTATCCTCCCGCAAGGTCTGCAGCATGCTTTTTTGAATTATAGAAGATCAATAGAAACACCTTTCGATTTTCTCAATTTTGACGAGAAAATATAGTCCCATCCGTATAACGAAAGGCGACCGGCGAACGGCCTTCAGATATCAGGTTTTCGTCATTCTTCTACCTATACCACCTCAAGGGTGCTTCTACGGTCGTTTTTCTACACCGTAATCTGCTGGTCCCCCATTGAGAGGTCCCGGATATGGGCCTCCACTCAGAGATCTTCTCGTTCAGCTCTCGGATATCCCGCGCCCCTTAAAAACGGCCTCCTCGGGGTCGATCTATCGATACCATGAGGCTCTTCGAACCCTTCATAGAACTAGGCGCTTCCTCCGACCGCTCCTCCTCCGAACTCGACCATATCACCACCACTACCACGAATCGCAAAGCCTCCCATGCCACTGCAAGCACGACAACCCCGTTCCCCACACAACGGCAGCCCTCGTTTCTCTACTCACGCCGCGAGTCCCTCACGGCCGCCGAGCGGGCGCGCAGAAATCTCAATGCCAAACTCGCCAATCCGCTCGCCGGTCTCAGCCATGCCACTCTGATGAAGCGCGGCGGCCGCTATGCGCGCCAGCACCACATTGGCGACGAAGAGGATATCCGCGCCTTTGAGCTGGGTGCTGTTCTGGCGCAAGCGCCAGAGAAGTACGAGAGTGTCGAGGGCTTGACGGAGAAAGAGTTGAAGGTGCTTAGGGAAGAATTCACGAATCGATGGTCGCAGCCGCGGCTCATGTATTTGGTCATTGTTCTCTGCTCGCTCAGTGCGGCAGTCCAGGGAATGGGTTAGTTCGTTGATTTCCTTCTTACCATTTTTATTTTTATTTTTATTTTGTATTTTGTATTTTGTATTTTTTTTTTTTATTTTTCTCTTTCCTTTCCCTTAGTTAATTGTGCTCTTTTGGAGGCATGTGCAGCCGTTCGTTCAGAAGTCTCCCCACCTCCAGAATTTGATTTTCGGGAATGAATGTTGTTTTGCTTTTTGTGGCTTGTTTGCCTCCTCCCGTGGTTCGCGGGCTGTGGAAGCTTAAAAATATCCGTTTTCTTTATCTGAACTAACTGACAATCAAAACCTTAAGACGAATCCGTCGTGAATGGCGCACAGATATTCTACAAATCACAATTCGGCATCGGCGGCCTCGATTCACGGTCTACATGGCTGGTCGGCTTGGTCAACTCGGCACCCTACCTCTGTTGCGCTTTCATCGGCTGCTGGCTCACCGTGCCCTTTAACCACTGGTTTGGTCGCCGTGGGACAGTATTCATCACCTGCGTTTTCTCCGCGATTGCGTGCTTCTGGCAGGGCTTTGTGAACTCATGGTGGCATCTGTTCATCAGCCGTTTTGCCCTGGGCTTCGGCATTGGCCCCAAGTCTGCCACCGTGCCCATTTACGCGGCCGAGACCACCCCGCCGGCCATCCGTGGTGCCCTGGTGATGCAATGGCAGATGTGGACTGCTTTCGGCATCATGCTCGGTTACATGTCTGATCTGGTCTTTTTCAATGTTCCTGATACGCCCAACGTCACGGGCCTGGGGTGGCGGTTGATGCTGGGCTCTGCCATGTTCCCTGCCGTGCTGGTGTGCACCTTTGTATTCGTTTGCCCCGAATCCCCACGGTGGTATATGAGCAAGGGCAGCCACTACAAGGCATACCGCTCCATGTGTCGCTTGCGTTTTATCAAAGTGCAAGCCGCCCGCGACCTATTTTACATGCACACCTTGCTCGAGGCGGAGGCGGCGATGAAATTGGGCCAGGCAAAAATCCTCGAACTCATAACCGTCCCCCGCAACAGGCGCGCACTTATCGCATCGGAAATTGTCATGTTTATGCAACAGGTATGTACCTATATTTGCATATATATTATAAATATATATATATATATATATATATATACAGATAGATAGATAGATGTTGTCCGTAAAACAGGCAATCAAACCCATAAACTAACATTTCCCCCCCCCCTTGCAGTTCTGTGGTGTAAACGTCATAGCCTACTACTCTTCCGAAATTTTCCTGGACGCTGGCTTCTCCCAGAAGGCTGCGTTAGCGGCCTCCTTCGGCTTCGGCGTGATCAACTGGCTCTTCGCCATCCCCGCCATCTACACGATTGACACCTTCGGCCGCCGCAACCTCCTCCTCGTCACCTTCCCTCTCATGGGCATCTTCCAGCTGCTTACGGGCTTCTCGTTCTGGATCCCCACCGACGGCTCCGCCACCATGCGCAGGGCCCACACCGGTTGCGTTGCGCTGGGCATCTACTTGTTCGGCATCGCCTACTCGCCTGGCGAAGGCCCCGTGCCCTTCACGTATTCCGCCGAGGCATACCCGCTCTACGTGCGTTCGTATGGCATGGCGCTGGCGACGGCAACGACGTGGTTTTTCAACTTCATGCTGGCGATCACGTGGCCCAGTTTGAAAAATGCGTTCAAACCACAGGGCGCGTTTGGCTGGTATGCTGGGTGGAATATGGTGGGGTTTGTACTTGTCTTGTTGTTCATGCCGGAGACCAAGGGGAAGACCCTTGAGGAGCTGGACCAGGTGTTCTCTGTGCCGACGATGATGCATGCAAAATATGGCGCCGGAGAGCTGGTTTATTATTTCCGGAGGTATGTGCTGCGGCAGAAGGAGTTGAAGAAGGTGGTGCTTTACGAGAGAGACGGGGACGGGGAGGGGAGGAGGAGGATGAGGGATGGAAGCGAAAGTGAGAGCTCGGGTGCTGATGCTGCGATCAATCTTGATTTCAATGGGGTAACCCAGGAGTTAAGCGATGACGGGAGGCTGGAGAATGGATGATGTGTGAATATGTGGAGAGTATATTCTGTGTCATATTCTATTCTTTATGCATTACGATTTTTTTTTTTTTTTTTTTTCTCCCCTTTCATAACACCTCGTTCGCTCATGCATTTATCCGTAGGGTCATTTCCTTTGTTTAGAGATACCTAATTTTGTTCTCCTTTGCACATATATATATTTATATATATATCGGTTGATGAGGCTTTCTACATACCTCGAGTGGTTGCATGCAGGGCGCAATCGCGCTTGGCAGGTTAAACGTTCGTATGTTTCATATTATTTGAACGATAGATCGTTAAGTCAGTCTATCAGTCTATTACGTATTCTATATCCTTCGAGTTCTTCAGTTAATTCAGCAGTGACGTTTTCAGTGTCAAAAAAGCCACTTTGGGATTAAAGAAACCAGCTTCACAGAAAATTTGCATGGGGTTTTGCTCTCAAAATATTTATCTATTGTCTGCAAATAAATTAGCCTATGATCTGCACATGATTGATATGAGAGTGATGGTGGAAGAAGCGGGGATGGGTCAGACAGCAGTTGGTAATATTTACTATCCACATTTCTGTTTCGGAACAGGTCTGTGTGAAAATTTGCTTCATCATGTGGTAGTTCCTTGCGACGGAGCACCTCACCACCTTAGGATTCAAAATCTTGCCGTACGATGGTGGATTCTTATATCACCCTACTCGCAAGATCCTCCTGACATTGCACATCGATGACTGTTGGGTAACAGGACCCCAGGAGCAGCAATTAGATTGGATACTGGCAGAGATTGTGAAAAGGTTTGAGACAAAGAATGTCAAAGAGAACAAGCCCTACCTTGGAATCGACCTAGCAGTTACCCAGAACCGTTATATCAATGAGATCCTTGAGGATTTTGGAATGGGCAAGGTCAACCCAGCCAGCACACCGATGGCAGCCAGCATACGCCTAGAATTCTCACCAGATGAAGATAGCGGATTAGATGATGATTTTACTGCTACTAGATATCATCAAGGCTTAGAATCACTGCAGTATCTGGTATCAAGCAGCAGGTCAGATTTGACATTCGTGGTCAACTACCTTTTGTGTTTCAACTCACATCCGCACAAGAAATGCTGGGCGGCATTAAAGCACGTCCTACACTACATCAAGAAGACAAAGGATCACAGAATCCTGTACAAGAAGGAGATAATTGAGGGGCTCAGTTCTGTAGCATACAGCGACTCAGATTGGGCAGGGGCAGACCCTCAATACAAGTCAACTACGGGTTATGTTATTCTACTAAATGGATCACCAGTCAATCTCATGGCGATCGCAACGGCAGACCTCAATTGCAAAATCAACCGCTGAGGCAGAATATATCACGGCAAGTGAGGCACCGTGTGAACTAATCTGGTTGAATGATATGTTATATGATGCTGAACTGGTAGAAGGAAAAGCAAAGATATGCTTGCATCTGCAAATTGACAACAAGAGTGCAATAGATCTAGCAAAAGGGGAGTCCTTGACAAGAAGATCACATCACATCAAGATTAGATATCATATCCTGCACAACTTGATTGAAAAAGATGAAATTGTGATGGAGCATGTTGATTCTACAGTCAATATAGCTGACAGTCTCACCAAGCTGCTGACAAGACCCGCCTTTGAAGAATTTGTTAAGAGGATTGGCTTAATGAAAATAGGCAAGAAGGGGTGAAGGCAATGATGATACAGCAGATTACAGATTTTGCTTGTGTTATTGCTGTACAGGCACCTATTCCCAATAAGGAAATCCGGATCCAAATTTTGTAATTAATTATTATTGCGGTTTTAGAGGAATTGAGCGAAGGGGGGGCCCCCCGGGCGGCAGGGCTTGATGGCGGCGCCGGAGCACGGGGGGGTGTTAGTGGGGAACTAACCTTGGAAGGTTACTCTAGGTACGTGCCCCCCAACATATTATTAGGCCACTAGGGCAAAAGAGCTCAATCATCACCAGCGCCGTGGTGGTACAGAGGGTACGAATCACCCAACCTAATCCCCCCAACACATATTGTGTTGCTCTCGCGTAGATAGTTAGTAATGACAACAATGTTATCCTCCCAAGTTTAGTCTGCATTAGATTAGGTTGACTTGTGCCAATCGACCTGTACCAAATACAAACATAGAGCAGCAGCCACACGTCCATTGCTGGTTTATGACTTTTGACCGAAGTACTCCATAGGTACAGATCTTAGTGGGCTCTGTGGCAGGCAAACCAGTACACTTTCCAATCTATGCCGGCTGTTACATTATATATGCTGGTATATCTCCCTCCAGCCTCCGGTAAATAATATGCCTTTATGCCACTGTAACAAGCGAATCGTGGTTGGCTGCATAAAACGAGTAGATGGAACCCAGGGTATCACGAGCTTTCTTGGCTTTATCATCGCCGCCAGCCGTTAGAGTCTCGGCACTGGATTTGCTAGGCTTGTCACTCATAATGGGGGGCAAACGTGAAGTGACAATGTAGGAGACTGGTAAAACTTGTGATGTAGGTCGAGATGCGCTGGTCTGCCTGGAGGAAAGAATGCCCAATATATAAGCACTACTGGAGGGGCTTATGGCGGTAAAGTCATCTTTATGTGATAGGTGTGTTGACTAGCGTTCCCTGGGGAAGAAACCCTGGCCAGGGCGCGAAGCGAAACAAGGTGCTGGCCACACAACGGCCAAGCCAGGATTGGCTGGAACACGGCAGCTTCTCGAATGCAGGTTTGGGATAAGTTGTTGGACATTGAGTACAGAGTAAGTGCTCCTGCTTATTTCTGGGGTTCTTTATCTTCTTTGTATTCAGTTCACCATTTCACTCAGTCCGACATCTGCCAGACAAATCCCGCGAGCGGTAGATCAAAATTACCACATTTATGAGGTTCCCTTTCGACGACGGAATACTTTCTTCACGATGCACTGGGATGAGTTGGCGGAGAAAAAGTCGCAAAGTCTATATGCTGCCTGGTTGAAATATCTTCTCCAACAATCCCCAGCCTTGCCTCTCGAACTTGCCTCCAAACTTCATCGTGGTTTTCGAGCAATCAGAGCTTCAGATTTCACAACTGGTGCATTCAATATGTGCTGTACTGTAACCTTTGAAGATGGTTTCAATGCTCTTGTTAGATTTCCCATCCTGGGCCGAAGCCGCTTCCGCTGTGAAAAAACTAGTGATGAGACCTCAGTGATGGCCTTTGTTGCTCAGTTCACATCTATCCCTGTCCCAACTGTCCTTGGTGTAGGTAAATGGAGTGGTGGCCCTTACATCATTACAACAGTTATTGAGGGCACTTTGCTTTCGAAATGCCTACGAGATCCCTCTGTGTTGGTGTCAAGCTTGAATCTGAGTGCCTCCAAGATGGATCTGAAGCTTGCCTACTCTGGAATGGCTCGCATTGTGCTAGAGCTCTCCAAGCCGGTATTCAAATACATTGGAGGGTTGAAATATGACTCTGGGGAGTGGAGGGTTGCAAAGCGGCCTTTGACACTCAAAATGAATGAGCTTATACGAGTTGGAAATTTCCCTCCCAATGAATTTGTTGATTACAATCACATCTTTGAAAGCGCCTCCAAGTATTTCCAGCAATTAGCAGAGCAACAGTTTCTGCACCTCAAATACCAACGCAATGATGCCATCACTGATGAGGACAACTGCCGGAAGAAATATGTGGCACGCTGTCTTTTCCGGCATATAGCACAACAGATTCCAGTACAGCATGGCCAATACCACCTCTACTGTGATGATTTGCGCCCATCGAATGTCCTGGTCACAGAGTCTGATTTGAGGGTTACTGGTGTCATTGACTGGGAGTATACATATGTCGCCCCTGCTGAATTTACATACAGTGCTCCATGGTGGCTCCTATTTGAAAGCCCTGAGACTTGGGATCTGGATAATTTTATGGATCGATACTGCCATCGCCTCGAACTATTTCTTAAGGAGCTCCGTGTTCATGAAGACGAACAGATTCGCCAAGGTAGTCTAAAGGAATCACAGCGTCTTTCAGAAAGGATGGCACTCTCTATCAAAAATGGGCTCTTTTGGTTTTGTCTTGCAGCCAGGAATAGCTTCATGTTTGATGAGATCTATTGGACATTTCTCGACGAACAATACTTTGGGCCTCTGAGCTCGCTTGATGATCGGCTTTCCCATTTAACACAAGATGAGCGAGACCAGATGGAGGATTTTGTTCAGGAAAAAATGCAGCAGATAGAGGAAAGGAGGTTGGATGAACATCAAACATTTGATCAAGTTCTTGAGTTATAGTCTAGAAAATTGACAAGAACCGAGATATTATTGTTTTCTGACTTGCAAGGGAGTGTGGAATTTGGTTCCATTTTCTTCCGGATATTTATGAGAGATATATCCGAATCTTCCAACCCAGTTAGCATTTTTCAATGGAAATCTAGGAATTAAACAGGTAAAATACATTCTGTTTCACATGTTCGCGGCACATAGGACAAGGCTTTGCTTCTTCCATTCTGCTTGACAGCATATGTTGATGAGCACACCAGTGACAAAGCACTGCATGCCCACCCCCAAGCAAAGAATTTGTGGCACAGCCCAAAGCTGCGCAAAAGGATCCCGGGTTTACCAAACCCTTGTTGCAGGTGGCACCAGCGCCTTATTGCTGCGTATTGCTGACCTGGGAAACTTTCAGCAGCTGAAAGATAAATGTTTGAACATATTATCTGAAAAGTCTAGCAGCAACTATACTCAAACTGCACTGCATTCACACTCAGATTCAGTGTTGATGAGTAAGATGACATGCAATAACATGGAAAGAACTGCTGCTGATGTTCTGACAGCTCTTCTCAGCAAGTTGAAAAGAAGTTTTTTTTAATTTCAGAGCTGATGGCAATGCTTTTTAATCTCGGAAAAAATAACTCAAATCTTCAGCAAAGGCAAACCAGTTTACTGATATGTTTGAGCTATGTACAGAACTCGAATCTATCTCAAACAAGATCTTCAAATCAGATAAAATCTACTGCATTTTGATTCAGTGAAGTGAAACAAAGTATCATCAAAAAGTTCCATTCTTGATATGATTGTTTTTTGCGGTCGTGAGTCCTCTGGCCTTCAAGCAACTAGCCGAGGCCTGCGAGGCTGCTCATGAGCATCATGACATGATAATATCATTTTCTGCGGATGATGATGCAATGCTGATGAAAGTATTAAATGTGTTAAATTCAGAAGTCATGATTTATATTATCCTCTGTCAATCTTTCCTGATCCAGCTGCTGAATTACTGACTTCAATGTGAGAATGATTATAAAAATCAACACTCAGTTAAAGTTGCAGCTCAGCAGAGCTGCAGAGAATTGATTAAAAACATTGATTTTTCAAACTGAGCTGACTTCAGCATCTTCTGAGATCTGCTAACAACATTCTATCCTCATCTCAAAATATCAGACAGGAGAAATTCATTGGTGGATGATAGTGAGTATTTTGAAAAGCATATAAAGCTGAAGAATCAGCTCAACTCTGCATGTAATTAATATCAACTGTAGTAAAAGTATTCATCAAAAATTTTTACTCTTATTTCATATGATGAATTGTGTATTGAGATTGACAAATTCATCACCACAGTAGATCTAGTGCTTCATTTGATTGCTAACATTTATCAGATTTGAGAAGTTGCTTAGCAAGTTATTCATAATATTTTTAAATATCTTGTGTGAATACAGAGGCCTCTTCCTCCAAAAGATCAATTATCTAACTCAAAATATTGAGAATATTTTATACAAATATGATATTGATATCAGATATAAATTTGAATGTACGGACAGAATATTTCTTCTGCAAGAGTCAATGAACTCACAATACATCATTGAATTTTATCAATTGATTGATGTGTCAAATCAAGAAGAGAATTGATTTCGACTGTGAATTATATATCTGCAGCATGTATTATTGCTGGAAGGTCAGTAGAGCGCTTTGATTATTATTATTATTTTTCTATGATAGATGTATGCAGTCAGTGATTATAATATCTATCTGAAATACTCCAGAATTTTTCAACTTAAAAATAAGCTAATATACAAAGTCAATTTAATACATGCAATAGCAGAATTCCAGCCCAGAATTAAACAACTATTCAAACTATTCAATTTAAAAAAGAATGTCAAAAGAATGACAACAGATCAATACATTCAATTTAAAACAAATGAAATAAAGAGTATAAAAAACAGCAGCTATTAAAAGAAAAAAGAAAGCATTCACAAATCAAACTTTTCAAAACAAGTCAAAATCAAAAATAATCAAAATGAAATAAATTTCAAAGTAGAAGTAACAAAATAAAAATAAAAACAAAAACAAAAATTAAAGCAAATACATAAAAACA